AAAAATTGTAAATTTCTTGTTATCTATTCACCATATGTAGAATAACATCCATGTATGTTCTGATTGCTAGTGTTGTGCGTCAGATGGATTGTTAAACATGTTTTTGTGAATGGTGATTTAGATAGGAAAATCTACATGGGACAACTTATAGGGTTGTCATTCCTGAACATGCTTAGGGAGTCTATTGTTAGACAAATCATTGTAAGATTTGAAATAGACTCTAAGACGATGGCATGAATAGACGGGTTATCTCTCATGGTTTTAAGAATGACAAGTGCATTGAGTACAACTTTGAGAATGACACTTGCATTGTGAATGACACATAGATCTTTGGTACAAAGACTTGTGATGTCAATATTGAAAAACCATGATGGTTGAGAATTTTGAATGTGAAGGATCTAAATGAAACAAATGTTATGCTTAGAGATCCTAATAACTAGGAAAATACAAGATGTACACCTGCATACATGTTTGATGATGCTAGTATAAATATTTGAAGAACACCTAAGACGGTGTAAGAAAGTTAGAATATACTAGCATTTACTGTCTGCGAGAGGCAGCTGATAAACATGAAACCCGATTTAGTGGGGGGTACTTGGCAGGCTTACTGATTATCCTAGTATGAAGCATTGAAATGCTATTGAAAGGGGTCATGAGACACCTTAAAAGAACAGGGAAAAAAAATCTTGGTATTTGTTATTAAAGGTTTTGCTGTATTGGTAGGGTATAGTGATGCGGATTAGAATACCCTATAGAGGACCCCAAGACAACAAGAGGCTGTGTTTTAAACATCGATAAAGAAGCTATGTCTTGGAAGTCTAAGAAGTAAACGATCCTGGCTCAATCAACTCAGAAATAAGAAATGATAGAACTAGCAATGGCTAGTAAAGAGGAAAGTTGATTGAGAGGGTCATTACTAGAGATTCCCTTATGGGAAAGATCGATCCCTCCGGTAGTTGATTCATTGTGATAGCACCGCAGCTATTACTAAAGAAGGGAACCAGTTCTAGAACGAAAAGAGACGACAAATTTGTCGTAAGCACAGTACTGTAAGAGAACTCCTAACGATAGGAGCAATGAGAGTGGATCTTGTAAGGTCCTAACAGAATCTAGTTGATCCTTTGACGAAAGGATTATCTAGAGAGAAAGTCCAAAATACCACGAAGGGTATGAGACTTATGCCTACCGAACCATGGATTACAAGTGATGGTAACCCGACCCGATAGACTGGAGATCCCAAGAAACGGGTTCAATGGGTAATAACAAGTCATGAGTAATATTGAGAAAAGTTTATGCATAGTGAAGCATGAATCCCAAAGCCTTGGAGGTTGAGTTAAACTCTTAATGAGATCTATACTCTATGTGGAGTGAAGTACTTTACTTTGGGGGTACTTCTGATAGACTCACCTATGTGAATGTGGGAGTGAGGCCGCTCCCTATGGAACTTTGGAGGCACAAAGTTGCTAGAGCATTCACTAAACCGGGATAACGTGCATGGCCATAAACGCACGGCCTATGAGAGAATATCACTCAATGAAAACATCCGGTGTGCTACATTGTCTGAGATAGGGTTCAAGACTACGAGTCACCCTTATGAAATCGGAAGTGTAACCACTACGCTAAGGTTCAAATCTTCGCGATACCTTAGCTTATGCTCGATCTTATGGGACTATTGATGCTCAGAGATAGTTTCAAACTATTCAAGTGGGGGATTGTTGGGATGAATAGCTTTGAAAAGCTATAATGAAATTCCTAATTAATTATCCAGTATTTTCCAATAATACATAAATAAGATGGATAATTAATAAAAGGAATATTATGGAGATAATTAGGAATAATTATCTTAATAGATTATATTTTAATTATGGGAGTAATTATCTCCCTAATTAAAATATGACTTATTCCCAAAGAAAGAGGGAATATTCTGGGTTTTCTGCTCCTATAAATAGGAGACGCCCCAGACCCTCTAAACAAACCTCAAAAGAGCAGAAACACGAGAGAGAGTGAATTCATAGAGCTCCGGTCTTTCGCACAAAACCGATGAGCAAGAAAACTAGAATGGCTGTTTTATCCTGGAGGCGACTGGCTGATAGTCTGCTGTGCGCAATACGAGGCAGTGCCGCGAACGTCTTAAAGATAGCGACCTAGTCCGCGACTCAGCCAGATCGGTAACCCTAATTTTTCTGTTCGGTTTCTAACAAAAGAGAATCAGTAGTGAGTCATGGATGTACTGATGGACATGGTGAAACTTTAGTTTGACTTTGATTTGACTTTGACCATGACCTGGTTTTCGGTGCCACCATGCTGAACTAAAAAAATTCCCCTTAGACCCTCCCCTGTGTGCTCATTTCTGTCATTTTTAGTGGCACTACCTCGTTGGTGTCCCTATCAAATGGCGGGTCAAGGTCAACGGGGTTGCGTCAGTGGTAGGGACGAGAAACGGGTGCTTCAAGTTAACCCGAAATTTGGTGCTTCAAGTTTTGGTGCTTTTGATTTATAGGACGAGAAATGGGTGAGAAATTTTGATGTTTTTTATTTATGGAAAGAAAATTAGGGGAAAATTTTGTATTCGTTTTTTAAGAGAAAGAAGAGAGATTACGACAACGTTTAAACATGATGGTTTATGAGATTAATTAATTATCGATTTGATTATCACAATTTTTACATATGATGATTTAGTGACTAAAATATTGTCTATGCTCTATAACAAACCTTATTGTAGCTTTTAGGCATGACTAATTTAATATAGTAGATTTGAGAACATGTAAAGAGTTATCCTATATCAAATGCATATTATTTTGCATTTAGGTTGAAAACTTAATCTTATTCACTAATTCTCCCACCTCATTTTCATTTAGGTGGGAAACTTCCCCCCTCTTATTTTGATATCGTCATCCCGATTTTTCACTTCTCCAATGTTTCCCTCCCCACTTTTCGTTCTTCTCATTTTGCTTTCCCTCTACAATTTGTCCCTACCGAAATGAAAATCTAATAAGGGAAAATTCCCCCCAATTCGACCCACCAACGTTTCAATTCCTTTAATATTAAGCCTGATTTCAATCTCCCATAAACTGTTGTTTATAATATTAGTGTCTTGTCTAGATTTTGCATATGGATATAAATTAGGATGATTGATTAACAACGACTTGCAAAAAATTTCCATGAACCTTGATTCATATATTGTTTTGCTAAACAAAAAGTTTAGGGCTTTGCTACGGTGACATGCATGTCACGGTGACATGCACTTTTCGGTCGACCTCATATAGGATTAGGTCGACCTAATCTATTGTTTCAGTGTAAAATCAGTTTCATGGTGCCTACTTTGGAGATTCATATCTTACAATTGGCTAGATGGAAATTGGAAACTAAAGGCTTGTTTTGAAGCTGAAGTGTCCCTCTACACATTAAAGTACTTGGGAGCTCAATAGAAAGTCGAGAAGACCATTTTTGAACCTGACCAAAAGGCTATGCCAAAATTGGGAAACTGCCTGAAAATGGCTAAGTCTGGCAACGTGTTTGTCAAGCCTACTTTGGAGCTCAATTTGAGAAGCATGGATGCGAGTCAAATCCAGGAGCCTCTACCACGTTAAATTACGTATTTTATTATACAAAGGAAAGGCATTGGATGAAAGATTGAATATCTTTAAGCCTTCAAACAAAAGGCTCGAAGTTGCTGCGAAGGCTGTTTTTCTGGCAGCTTGCTTGTGCTCGAAGTCTGCCAGAAAAACAGCCTTCGTAGCAACTTCGACCCTTTTGTTTGAAGCCTTACAGATATCCAATCTTTCATCCAATGCCTTGAATTTGTATAAAAACATACCTAATTTAACGTGGTAGAGACTCCTGGACTCGACTCGCATTCATGCTTCTCGAATTGAGCTCCAAAATAGGCTTCACAAACACATTTCCAGACTTAACCATTTCCAGGCAGTTTCCCAGTTTTGGCATAGCCTTTTGTTGGGGTTCAAAAATGGTCTTATGAACTTCCTATCGAGCTCTCTTCCACTTCAATATGTAGAGGGACACTCCAGCTTCAAAACAAGTCATTAGTCTTCAATTTTCATCTAGCCAATTGTTAGATATAAATATCCAAAGTAGGCACCATGAACTGTTTTTACAATGAAACAACAGATTAGGTCGACCTGATCCTATATGAGGTCGACCAGATCTTATATGAGGTCGACCGAATTGTAAATGAGGTCGACCGGAAAGTGCAAGTCACCGTGACATGCATGTCACCGTAGGCACACCCAAAAGTTTATACTTCACTGAGAATTAAGCTTGTAATTTATTATATATATAATTAATGCCTTTTTTTGTTACTCAATTTTGCTTCCAATTGGATTGCCGCCCAATTTTCTTTTTGTTTGATATATATTGTCGCCTAACTTTTTCATTCCCGCTCCAAAAGGCCGCCCAATTTTCGTTTGGATTGATCTATATTGCCACCCAATTTTCGTTTGGAATAATCTATATTGCCGCCCAAAAATGTTGAGATAAGAAAAAGTGTTCCCCCCCCCCCCTATTTTTAAAGTGGTGTCTGGTGTGTTGTTGGTTTGCTAATAGTGTCTATTGGTTGCAAATGTTGATATCGCCATTACTATTATTTCGTGCACTTTTCTAGTTATGATTAATTACATGACAAGTTTGCAAATCATACAAATTGACTCAACATTTTGAATATTTTTTTTTCTAAATTAAGTATATATATGAGGTAGAGATATGCTGGTTAAAAATTCGGGCTAATACCACTACAACACCCGAACTATCGCGAAAATGCCACTTGTGTACTATTGTTTTCAATATTCCATTTGTGTCCTGAACTATGATTTCGTTAGTGTTGACTTTTGTTGACCGTTAGTTTTTAACATAATATCTAGTCAGCACTGATGTGGCATCTGACGTGAAATTTTTAATATTAATTTTTTCCATCTAATATTAATAAAATAAGAAAAAGGAAATAATTAAAATATAAAATAAAATAAAAACTTAACCCACTGATCCCTTCGTCCCACCCACACAAATCTCTACATTTTAACAGAAACGTAACCCACCAAACCCCCAATCCTCTTAAACAACCCCAATACCCTCGTCGATCTGTCAACGCCAAACCTTAGATCGGCAATTCCCCAATCGGCGACCCTGCTTCTCTAACCCTTTCTCTGACGACGCCTAGGGATTCAACAAATCCGCGACCTCCTCGCTCCCTCCTCCTTCAATGCTCCTCGATTGCGACAACTGGCGCCTCAAACCGGTGCCTCAGATGGGTGCGCCTTCCACTGTAGAAGTGGTCGAGACAGATCTTCGACAACAAAGAAGAAGGGGTTGGAGTGGATCCCTGAGAGAGAAAAATCAAGCAAGAGAGAGGGTAAATCAGAGGGAGTGGCGGAGAGGAGATGGAAATGGCGACGGTGAGCGCGGATCCGGTGGTGTTTTGTTGTTGGAAGCCGAGAGGCAGAGCTTCAATTACGCAGTGTCTCGCATCATCGATCTTGCCTGCCTTTCACCGCAAAGAAGAAGAAAGAAGGAGGAGTTGGTCGGCAAAGGAAGGTCGGCGTCGCCCCGGGTACTGCCTCCCGCCTCGTACGATGACGCCTCTTCAGATCTGAAAATAGGAGTGGGAGGAGATCTACAGACCGTGTTCTTCCCTAGAAGCAGATCTGGAAGCACCGCCAATGGAGTTCTATTTCCATTTTGATTTTGTTTTAATTTTAGTTTTTTTAATACTATAATTGAATTTACAGTTTTTTTTAATTTTAACTTAATTTTTATTTAGTTTTAATTGAAAAAATATTAGGTTAGTGACGTGGCATCTATGTGGCAGCCTGATTTTTTGCCACGTCAACAAAATTCAACTTCGCGTTGACCATCGTTTGGTCAACTGTTATCTTTAACAGTCAACAAAATTGACAGGATACAAATGACACAAAATATCATAGTTCAGGACACAGATGGAATATTGGAAACAATAGGACACAAGTGGCATTTTCGCGATAGTTCGGATTTGTAGTGGTATTAGCCCTAAAAATTCTGAAAAATATTTTAAATTAGTGTAATAAAATGTGTAAGTTGGTAGCGAGTAAGGAGTAAGTAACTCGATGCGTCTTCCAGAACAACCCACAACCCGATCCACCCGACCCAAAACCGATTTGCCCCCAACCCGATTGAACCCAAACTCGATTGAACCCACATCGATGGACCCAAAACCCAACTAACCCAAAACCCAACTAACTCGCAACCCGATTAAACTCGACCCGAACCCGCCCGATTGACACCTATAGAAATAAGAATGAGAGCTACAACGAAACATAGAAACATAGAAAGAGTAGGCTGGCCAGAGAGAGGAGAAAGAAAAGAATATGGGAGGAGAACATTTTGTTCACAACTTCACATAACCCAAGCATCACACAAAAATAAATCAAATTACATTATTACTTTTACTGCCAATGAAAAAGAGAAGAAATATTTTGAATTGGGAAAAAGTACACAAAAGTGTACAATATTTTAATGGGGGATAAATCATAGTGGTCCACCAAGATTTACTTTTCTATAAAAAATCTTAGTAGGCCCACTAAAATTTATTTTGATAAAGAGATGAAGTTATAAATAAAATTTTATTTTTATTTTTATGAAATTTACCTAAACCACCTTACATTTTGGGAAGTTTGTAGAGTTTAATTGATTTTATATATTTTTTCTTGATAAAAAATTCACCCATTTTTCAAGAAAATATTTACAAAATAATTTTCTCCTTCATTTATTACCCCAACTATTTTCTTACATAACATCTCTCCAATCATTGCTTCAAAAGGATAAAAGTTAAACAAAATTAATTTTCACTTTGTTTACTACCTTTACCCTTACTCTTTTCTCATAAATACTTTATGAGAGAGTATTCAATCACCAAGCTAAAAATCTGAGTGACATAACTAAGTAGATTTTCTTTATGAACGTGTTTTAGTGGCTTTTTTTATTGTTTGTCTCTCTAGTCCTCTCTAATAACCAGTAACGATTTTGCCGTATTTTTGTAGTATTTTTAGATTTTTTCCCTCCAAATTAAAGTATTATCTTTGTAGATCATTTTAGTAGTATTGAAATGATGATTGTGTAGTGTTGCACGATGGTTCGATGATTTGATAGTAATGTTTTATTGTATTGTAATATAATTATTTTAGCCGAATAAAAAATTAAAGAAAAAAATAAAAAAAAGTTGAGAAATTAGAAAAATAAGGAAGAGAGGGAGAAAATGACAAAAATAATGAGATAGAGGAGATGAAAACAGAAAACAAAACAAAAAGAATAATTAAAAATATGGTAAATGATTTAATTATTCATTTTTAGAATACCCAATAGCAATTCGGCCATATATCTTTTTGCTCCGAGAATTGCGGAATCGCATTAGGCTAGGGTTTAGGGTTTTTATTGCCATGAGTGCCGCCGGCACTCCGCCGGCGGTCCCGCCGGTCCCTTCCAGTCACCCCCCAGACCAGCCGGTGATCACGTCTCTAACATCGTCGCCGGTGCAGGTCTCTAAGAGGTCGAAGACCATGGATACAGGCTTTTCAGGGGGAGAAGCCATGCACGTGGAAGTTCTCACGCAAGCCGCAGCGGCCGTGGCAGGGGAAACCCGAGCTGCCGAGATAGAAAACCAGACCGGACCTATAACCTCGACGACGGGGGGCTCCTATCTGGACAAAGTTCTGGGACGCCAATCACATGTGGACAGCGAGATGATCGAGGAGGAGGAACCAGAACCGATTGATAGCGATGGAGAAGGAGAGCCGGATTGCCCGAAGATTTCCTTCCCGAAAGGCTTCCACGGCCGCCGGAGCGCACGCTGGAAACGTGCTCTCGTCGTTCGGGTCCTGGGACACTCCTTCCCGTTTCTCTTCCTCCAGCGTCGTCTTCTTAGTATGTGGGCCAGAACTGGTCCAATTACCGTGGCAGCAATGGGACGAGGCTTCTACTCAGTTCGTTTCACTACAGAGCAAGATTTTGAACGAGCACTAACGGAGGGGCCATGGATGATCGAAGATCACTACGTACTCACCCGTGTATGGACAAGAGGGTTCGAACCGGAAGATGAAGAATTGTCAAAAACTCTCGTCTGGGCTAGATTGCCTAAACTTCCCATGGATTACTATGATGAGGAGCTAATAGCAAATGTGGGTAACTCTGTTGGTAGGTTTGTTAAGATTGATGAAGCTACAAGGCAAGCAACGCGGGGCCATTTTGCGCGTATGTGCGTTGAGGTCGATCTGTCACGCCCCCTTATATGCAAATATAAGCTAGAACGAAGAACGCGTCGGATTGAGTATGAGGGACTCCACAAGGTGTGCTTTACCTGTGGAAGATACGGCCATACTGACGACATCTGCCCCAAGAAGGAGATGGAGTCACCTTCCGAAGAAGCGTTCCGAACGGCCCACATCCCCAAAAGCAAGACCACCATTGAACAAGAGAGGCCAGAGATCTTTGAGGATTATGGACCGTGGATGATCGCCTCTAGTAACAGACGCCGTAGACCTACAGGAGCTAAAGATGTTTCACAGAAGCCTACCCAGCGACCAGTTCAGGGGAAGACGAACCCAGCGGGCTCTCGCTTCGATGTTTTGAACAGCCTGAACGATGAGCTACGCGAACACCAGGAGAATTTGGCTAAGGAGCGGGGAACCGAGGGTGGCGGAGCGGATACCGTAATGAGTGGTAATGACAATAATGCGGCTACACAGGAGAGTGATCGACCTAATTCGGGACCTAGTCAGCCTTTGAGAGAAGCTAAGTCAAAGCAAGTGTGGGTGCCAACCCAGCAGAGGAAAGATGGTGATGGTAGGGATTACGTTTTGCTGACCAAAGAGAACACAGTGACCAGGACGAACGTTATGCCTACTAGCCAACACCAATTTCACCACGGGAATAATGGCGAAGTAGCCCGGAGCGAGGACAAGCTGGCAGCTTCGGCTAGCCAGGCGAATGTGACGAGCACTAGTGGCCCTTTTCCTGTTGAAGCCGATCAAACTACAGCGATGCTTATCCCTAGTCAGCAAACAGGCAGGCCCCCGGACAACAAACAGCCGGTTGCACGTAGTCTGGACCTCAACAGAGACGCTCTCCTCTCTGGGGAGAATGCTTCGATGAATGGCAGCACATGTGGGAGTGCTAGCGAGAATGTGAATGAACTGACGACGTCCATCATGGACGTGGAGCAGCGGGATTGACCAGGGGAGTTTACTACTCCTGTGCATCTTGAGTTACTTTTAATCAATTTTTCTTTAAATGTTGAAAGTTTTTGCATGGAACTGCAGGGGTGCTGCCGACCCCAACTTTCTTTTACACTTTCATGAGTTTCGACGTCTTCACCACCCTAACGTTGTGTTTATTTTTGAACCAAAAATCAGCGGAGCGGACGCAGACAAAGTGGTTCGGAAGATGGGATTTGATACCAATCGAAGGGTGGAGGCGAGAGGATTTGCGGGTGGTATATGGGTACTGTGGAATTCGTGGGAACTCGGGCTGCATGTAGAGGTCACAACTGATCAAATCCTCCATATGAGCTTCAAGTTGCCCACGGGCGATGTTGGTTTCTTGTCTGCTGTCTATGGTTCCCCGGCTATGGCGACCCGTCGATCCCTCTGGGAGGATATAAGGAGACTCAATATGCAAATCGACACTCCTTGGATTCTCCTCGGAGACTTTAATGCCCTCCTCAGTCCGGAAGATAAACATGGTGGTGCGAAGTTTAATGCCTCGAGCAGCCGGGAATTTCGCCGGTGCGTGGAAGATTGTGCCCTCATCGATGCACCCTTCACTGGCCCGAGATTCACATGGAAGGGCGCTAACCAGCTGCAGGAGAGACTTGATCGAGCTATCTACAACCCCCAGTGGCTTCAAAAATACCCGGAGACTGTGACTTGGCACCTCCCAAGAGTAAAATCGGATCATCGCCCCCTGTTAGTTGCAATGGCAGGCCGGAAAACCCGCAAGAATAAAGGCAAACCATTCCGCTTTTTAGCTCCTTGGCTCCTCCATGAAGACTTCTCCAGAGTGCTGCAAGAGGGATGGAGCAACGGGTTTGATTTTTCCTCTAAACTGGCGGTTCTGACACGGGAACTACAGGAGTGGAATGCAAAAGTGTTCGGTAACATTTTTGCCCGGAAACGGAACCTGCTGCACCGCCTAAGTGAACTAGAAATGATAAATGAGAGGAGGCCTACCTCTGTAACCCACCTTGAAGAAGATCAAGTCCGGGCTTCTTTACAGGAGGTACTTAAACAAGAGGAAATCCTCTGGTTCCAGAAGTCCCGGGCTCAATGGTTCCGCGAAGGAGACTGTAATACGCGCTTCTTCCATCTAGCAACGTTGAAAAGGAGGTGTTTTAACCGTATCCGTCGATTGAAGAATGGCCAGGGGGAATGGGTGGAGGAAGACGAACAACTCGAGAAGCTGGTTCGGGCTTTCTATATCACCCTGTACACTGCAGAGGAAACAGCAATGGATATCCTACCGGCCACCTTCCCGCCGCTATCTGTGGACGTGGCGAGTCTGGACTGGGATATCTGTAGAGAAGAGGTGGTGAGCGCCCTGAAGGCCATGGGCCCCCACAAAGCACCCGGCAAAGATGGCTTCCACCCATGCTTTTTCCAGCGATGTTGGGAGACGGTCGGTAATGCTTTCTCATCCTTTATCTCCCAATGCTTCCGTGACCCTGAGCTTATTGCGTCCGTGAATGCCACTTTGCTTACTCTGATTCCAAAGAAGCAGAATCCTGTCTCAGTAGCAGAGTTTCGGCCGATTGGCCTTTGTAATGTATCCTACAAAGCTCTAGCCAAATGCCTCGCGAACAGGTTAAAACCCTTGATGACGCAGCTGATCAAGCCTAATCAAACAAGCTTTGTACCGGGAAGGAGTATTCAAAGTAATATTATTATCCTACAGGAAGTGGTTCATTCTTTGCAGACTAGAAAAACAAAAGCGGGTCACATGGCGATTAAGATCGATTTGGCCAAAGCATATGACCGCTTAGACTGGACCTTCTTGGCGAGCACCCTTGCGGCGACTGGACTTCCGATGCATTTCATCCAAGTAATAATGCATTGCATCACATCAGCCTCCTTTGAAGTCTTGTGGAACGGAAGTTGCACGGAATCTTTCAAACCGACACGTGGTCTCAGGCAGGGATGTCCCCTTTCCCCTTACCTCTTTACACTGTGTATTGAGCGCCTGTCTCATGTCATTGAAGAAGCAGTAAAGGAGAAGAAGTGGAAACCCATCCAACTCGTTCGAGGGGGGGTTGGTCTGACGCATTTGTTTTTTGCAGATGATCTTGTGCTTTTTGCAGAGGCCACTGTGGAACAGGCAGACGTGGTGATGAGTTGCTTACAAAAGTTTTGCAAGGCGTCAGGAGAGCAAGTCAGCACGGAGAAGTCGAGAATTTTCTTCTCACGACATATGAAAAGGGACATCTGCAAGAGGATCAGCGAGAGATTGAACATCCCGATGACACAAGACTTGGGCCGATACCTGGGAGTCCCAGTCCTACATGGTCGCACTACAAAGGATACGTATCGGTACATTCTCGACCGCATCGATCAGCGACTTGCAGGATGGAAAGCGGACAATCTCTCGCTGGCGGGACGGGTTACTCTAGCCGTGTCAGTGTTGAATGCAATTCCCTCCTATGCGATGCAAACTGCTGTTCTCCCGGCAGGAATATGTGACCAGATTGATCAAAAGATCCGGGCTTTCATTTGGGGTTCTCAGCAAGGGCGACGGCGTATCCACCTCATCAACTGGGAGACGATCTGTCTACCGAAAGATCAAGGCGGCTTGGGCCTCCGCTCGGCTCGTGAGCTAAATGCAGCATATCACATGAAGCTTGCGTGGACTATGTTAACTAATCCAGATGAATTGTGGGTGCAGGTTTTAAAAGAAAAATACCTCAAAACTGGACCTTCGGGTGTGCAGGTGCGGCGCCAATCGGGTGGCTCCTCGCTTTGGAGAGGCTTGCGGCGAATCTGGAACCTCACTCTGTCGGGCATCCGCTGGAGCATCCGAGACGGGCGAACAACGAACTTCTAGACGGACACATGGACGGATGGGGGCAGGCCTTTGAGCGAGCATGCTTGGACGGAGAAGGAGGGGTTCCCGGCGGAGGCAATGGTTGCGGACATGGTGACCGCCGAAGGTGAGTGGAATGTGCCTCTTATTGCCCAGTTCTTACCCGCGGATTCTCTTTTGCAGGTCGTAGGAATGCCACCACCGAAGGAGAATCTAGGGGAGGACACCTTTGTTTGGGGACTGGAGCCGAAGGGTGGGTTCAGCTTGAAGTCGGCCTACCAGCTTGCCGCGGACATCGATGGGGAAGATGGACACACAAGCTGGCGGAAAATCTGGCGATGGCCTGGCCCGAGTAGAGTCCGCCACTTCCTGTGGATTGCGGCACATGGAGCACTTCTTACGAATGAGGAGCGACGACGACGACATTTGACGGCCACCAGCAGTTGCGCGCGCTGCAAGGCTGATTCGGAGGACGCGGAACACGTCTTCAGGCTGTGCCCTTTTGCCAATCAGGTGTGGGAGCTTGCTTTGCCCCAAGCAGCTCACCCGCACGATACTCGTCCTTTTAAGGACTGGTTCATGTCCTACCTCGCTAGCCCCGAGAACCAGGTTCGATTTGGGTTTGTTTTTTGGTTCTTATGGCGTTCGCGGAATGATCTCATTTTTTCAGACATTGCGGAAGCCCCTAACAAGTTGACGCAAAAGATCCTAGCCTGGGAGGTCATTGCGCAAAAGAGTCAAGCAGCGGATAACGTTATATCACTGGGGAGGTCGGGGTCGCGTCGAGACGTGGCTGTTGGGTGGAGACCGGCCCCGACAGACTGGCTCACAGTGAACTCTGATGGTTCTCTCATCCGGCCATCAGGGTCCACCGCTGCAGGGGGGTGCTTCGAGACTGGCAGGGTCGCTTGTTAGGGGCCTACGCAATGAACCTGGGGAAATGCACGATCACTCGCGCGGAGCTATGGGGCGCTCTTAAGGGAATACAACTGGCGTGGGAGACTGGCTTTAAGAAGGTGGAACTCCAGATGGATTCGACAGCTGCGGTACACCTCCTTTCCACCACCTCACCGTCAAACCACCAACACGCGAGCCTCGTTCTTGCGTTCCGGGAACTGCAGCAGAGAGACTGGGAAATCCGTATCACTCATATTTACAGAGAGGCAAACTTCCTAGCTGATAGCCTTGCTCATCGCGGCCATATTCTTCCTATTGGTTCGCATGTTATCTGTCCTTCCGATCCGGAAATTGCCCGTTTACGTATGTTTGACAATGTTGGTGGTTTCACCGTTCGTTTCCTTAATGAGTAAGAGGTAGTGGTGCTTTGCACCTTTTCACCAAAAAAAAAAAGAATACCCAATAGCAACTCAACTTTCAATAGCTGTGAGTGAAAACAGTTAAAAAAAAGTTAATATTTTCGTATGGCTTGAACTTTGATCAAAATAAACATCCTGGCCAATCTTTTCGATCCATAACATTCTGGCCCGAACTATACACAAAAATAAACAATTTGGCCAAACCCGATGTTTGACCGTTAACTTGGACGGTCAAACGCGTTGACTAACGGTCAACGAGCCACGTCACTGTGGGTCAGAAGATCTGATAAATATGTAATTTTTTTGTTTTTTATTTTTGTTTTTTATTTTTATTTTAAATATTTATGCTGATTTGGCAGTGACATGGCGCGTTGACTAACGGTCAACGCGTTTGACCGTCCAAGTTAACGGTTAAAAGTCGGATCTGGCCAAATTGTTTATTTTGGTGTATAGTTCGGGCCAGGATATTATAAATCGAAAAGATTGGTCAGGATATTTATTTTGGTCAAAGTTCAGGTCATACAAAAATGTTAAAAAAAACTGTAAAACTTTTTAAAAAATGAAGAAACACAAAAGAAGCATTGTGTGGGCCCACAAAAGCCCTGCCAGAGCAGCAGAGTACGTCAGCAACTACCAAAATAAAATAAAAAACAGAAAAAACACGGAAAACACAAATTATAAAACAATGGACACAAAACGAAAATAAAAAACCCCACCAATTGCGAAAAAAACTGCAACAGAATAAGCACATCAGCTTTGTGAGATGACCGAACCGCCAAAACCGGCAAACACTTCCTCCTCCCTCTCCCAACCTCTTCCCAAAGTCGTGTGAACCAACGCCCTCCTTCCCTCTCGCAGAGCCATAGCTGGGAAAGGAAACCAAGAGAACCCAGTTACAGGAAAGAGAGATACAAACTTTGCCTTCCCCACGAAGTTTACCCACTTCGCTTTCCTCCCCTTCAGCCCATGCCCACGATTTCAAAACCATTAAACTCTACTTTCCCCTGCCATTTTCTTTTGCTGTTATTTCCAAGCTTCTTTCTTCCCTTCTCCGTTTTTGAATTTTGGGGGTGTAGTGTAGTGTGGGTAGTTAGTTTTGCTTGTAATGGAGAGGCTGGTGGAGGGAATGAAGGCTGCGGAGAGGAAGCAAGGGAGCTTGAAGATGCTTGCTCAAGAGCTTCACTCACAGGCCAACTCGATTCTGCGTTTCACCCTTGAATGGAAGGAACTGGAGTCGCATTTCGAGTCTGTGAAGGAAGGGTTGACGGAGCGAGGGAGGGAGCTTGCGTTGCAAGAAAAGAAAGTGGGTGAAGCGTGGGGGAGGGTTAGGGTTAAGGAGGTTGAGGTTGAGGGTTTTTCCAGGGAGTTGAGGGAGAAGGAAGGGGAATTGTGTTTGATTCAAGGGAAAGTTCTGGAGCGTGAATCCGAGCTTGAAAGGAAGGTGGAGGAGTTAGGGTTTGTTAAACACAAGGTTGAAAAGTGTACGGAGGAGCTTCGGGTGAAAGAGAGGGGATTGGAGCTTGCAGAGAGGAGATTGAATGACCTACGCGTGGAGGTGGCTGGGAAAGAGGTCGAATTGGGTTTGCTGAGCAGGGCTGTTGAGGAACAGAGAAATGAGCTCACGAGTAAAACCAAGGAAGTGGATGATTTGGCGAACCTGATTTCAGACTCCAGCTCTCGGCTTGAGTTGAAAGAGAAGGAGTTAAATGAGGTGCAAGAGTCGATCAAAAGATGTAATGATGAATGCAGGTGGAAGGAAATCCAGTTGGGCGACTTGGAGAAGAGGAGCAAGGATTGTTGTGCAGGGCTTGATTCTAAGAGGAATCAATTGGATTTGATGAATGAGGAGCTTGCGAAAACCAGGAACTTGGTTGAGGAGCAACAGCGGGAGCTTCATTCCAATGAGGGTCACCTTGGTTCGATCAAAGAGATGATTAAGGAATTCGGGGAAGAACTCGAGAAGAAGGAAGCAGAGTACGTTGAGGTTCTCAAGTCTGTCAAGGACAAAGAAAAACAACTACAGTCCCTTGATACATCAATCGAATCATCTGTAAAGAATCTTGAACTGAAAGAGGCTCAGTTAAGTGCTCTTAAAGCTGACATTGATGTCGGAAGCAAAGAGCTTAGCAAGATGGATAAGATCCTGGAAGATGCTCAATCTCAGATGAACAGGCATAGCAAGGAGCTTCAAGCTGTAAAGGAGCAGAAACTGTCTATGCAGTCATTGGCTGAAGATTTTGCTCACTTTCTCGAATCTAAAGATAAGAGTCTTGGCGTGGTTGGGAAATATCTGAAAGGATGCCTTGTGCAGCTTGAATCGAAAGTGGCACAACTGAATTCAATCCAGAGTAAATTGTTCATCTGCCACAAAAGACTCACAGCCAAAGGACAAAGTGTTGATTCCATGAAGGGGACATTAGAAAAAAGAGTTAAAGAACTTGAGATACAAGTCGAGCAGTTTAGGTTGAGGGAGGAGGAGTTGGAGTCGAAACAAAAACTGCATGAAGAGCGATGTGCTGAAGTAGAAGCGAGAGATAAGCAATTAAATAGTGTTGCTGATTTGCTGAGAGGCAAGGAGCAGCTGCAAAGTACCACAGTGAGTGTAGTGAGTTGTGTCCAAGGAAATGGTAGAAATTTGCAGCTTCTTTTGAACGAGCATTTCAAGAAGCTTGATTCCCTTCATAGTGAACTTTGGACCGCCTTGCAGAAGTCACCTGATCCAGCAAAGCTGGTGCTAGAAGGGATGATGGGGTTTTATTCCGCAGAAGGCAGTGGAGAGTATGAGTTGGCTGTTATTAGGAAGAGCTGCATTACTTTGCTGGAGTTTTTGTCTAGAATCTCCCCAACGGTTAAGCCTGAAGTGTTGAAAGAATCAATGGAACTAGCTAGAGATTGGAAATCAAAATTGGGGATAGCTCCTGGTAACTCTTTGGAGGTGTTGGGTTTGGTGAAACTTATATCTGCATTTGGATTGCCTCTTGGTTACAAATCCGGTATTTTTACAGCTGTTTACCCAAATAGGAATGTCGAAGCCAAAGAAGCATGGCAAGCGCTCGAATTTGCAGAAAACTTAGCTGGTAGGCCCTACCGTTCCCTCCTTCTTTTGTTTTAACATAGTTTGTGCACTTTCCAAGTTGCAAGTTTCAATCAACTTGGATTGCAAAACTAACTTTGAAAGAGTTCTCAACACTGATCTTAATGTTGATTTATACTATCCTTTGTTCTGTTCAATAGTCTTGTGCCTGAATTCTGCCAAACTACATGTCTCTGATTACAGTTTGGCCATGGGACTTGAAGTCTTTTCTTGTATTTGTGATTTGTTACGAACCGACACAATAGGATTAAGCAGATTGAATAAGTGCTGCTGCGTATTTGGTTTTGGTAATGTAACTCATGTAAGAACATAGCGGGTTCTTTTCCTGTATGAATAGTTAGGTTATGTCAGCAAGTATGTTTCTTTGTTTTCCCCCATTTCAAATCAGAGCACGAGCAATTGGAGATGTAGATAGGTGTCAAAAATCAGCTAGCTATAGCTTATCTTGGCATCATCAGAAGTATGTGCCTGAGCAAATTGTATTGGATTAATGAGCTTGAATGAAAATGGATATGGAAGACTAAAAAAGATAAAGCTTGTGCTCTTTGCAATCATGTTAATTCTAGTTGCTTTCGCAGTTCTTTGTCCATTGCTTGGCTTCCAAGTTACATATTCAGTTTTTATTTTGAAGTGCTTTTAAAAAATATTTGGTTTTCTAGTGTTTGATTTCACTCCTCTATTTTGCTTCAGGTTCCTTTATTCTTTCTCCCGTCCATCCTTCATCTGAAGGGCTCATGTGTTTTACCACTCTCCATGAGGCCAGTAGTCCACAGCTTCTCCCAGATGAGCCATTACCAAGTGTATTATCTGAGAATGAAGTTACTAATGCCCTTAGAAACTCACCAGACCCGGCAAAGATGATATTTGATCTGATAGAAAATTCGCTTGTGCACCAAGAGAGCAAAGCCATTATACCATGTAATGAAAGTGTCCTGAGGAATCAGGTTCTTCTTTTACAACAATTGACGAGTGTGTCGCCGGTGGTGACTCCTCGTGGGCACGAAGCAGCAAGAAGGCTGGCGGTTGCTTGGAGAGGAAGTTTGAGGCTGGAGGCCATGGATATATTGGCGTTTCTTTTGTTTCTGGCTGCATATGGGCTTGCCACTCATTTTGAAGAAGATGATGTTCTGAAACTTGCTGGGAGGATTACTCACTATAAAAAGTCTCCTGATTTATGGCGTGCTCTTGGCTTGACGATGAAGGTACCTGGTAAGTATTTCTTTTGCTTTTTCCTTTCTTTCTTTCTTTCTTCGGATTTTCCCTTCCTATGGTTTCACCCCTTATGATCCATCAATATGGCCCACCTAAAAATGCCTAAAATCTGAACTCACCCAGTTGAGCACACCAAACCGAGAACTAAAGCCACAGATAATTCCTTTGTTTTCTAGCAGAAATCATTTCTTAATCCTACCCCACATGATCACTCAGTGGGAGGCTGGGTGGTGACTCGGCCTCCTAAGTCAGCCTAGCTAACGACAAGTTGGACAGAACAAGATTTAAGTTGCCATTTTGTTACGATTCTTAATTTAGTGATTGTTTCGTTACTCGATCCATAATTTAGTGACTGTTTAGGCATTTAACGCCTGTTTTCATTCATGTACAGGGCTGATTCAAAGTCTCGTAAAGAAGGATATGTACATTGAGGCTGCTAGATTCAGCTGTGCATTTGGCCTAGTCAACGCTTACTCACCTGACCTGTTGTTCTTGAAGTTATTGGAGAAGAGAAAGCTCTTGGAGCATGGGAAGCTCTTACTTGAGTCCCAAGTAACCCACATCCTCTCTCTTTGTTCTTCGTTTAGCTTTGGCCTTGTAGTTATTTTTTCTCCCATGTGAATGAATGTGGGTCCTGTACTTGGCAAATTGCGCAGTGTGAAGCCTTCGACAAGCACATGGACTACTTAAAACAACTGCTCGAACGCGTGCTAGAGCTGAACTTTGATCCCACCCTCATCAGCTCGACACTGATCTCACATTTCCAGGACATGGCAATGCTGTTAGAACGGAAGAGAAGTAGCTTGCTAGGTGTCTTTGCTCGACTCTCTCAGCCACAACCACCCCGATTGCAAGGTGGATCAATGGAGCATGGAGCCATTGCAGTGCCTAACGACATTCCTAGCTACATGTCTAACACGAATGACCAAGTTACGCAGCAATGGCAGCAGCAGCAGCATGTATACTGGAGTCACGAAGCACAGAGGAACAAGCGTCCAAGGGCTGGTATGCAGTAAGAAAAAGATTGGGACAGTTTATTTAGTGGTCAAACAGAGTGAGGCATTTTGTCATTCATAGCCTCATATGAAGCCTCTAATTAGTAGCAAAGATCGATGCTGTTTTTTGTGTATATATATGATGATGATTATCCAGTCCTTAGTCAGTTTCTTGGTAAACAGGCTGTAAATAGTACTCTAGAACCACTAAGGTTGGTTGGCTTTAACGGGTGTATGACATGAATATATAGTTGCTTGGATGAGAAAAGAAGCTGATGTCTCGTGCCCCTCTAAGCACTTTAAGATTTACGGGCACCAAGATGGGATCATATACAAAATGGAACTAGAAGGCCTTTGCTAACAGAATTTGGTTTGGAACTAAAAGGATCATGGGGCATGTAACTTTATTCTTCTAATTTATGGAAGGCTGGGTTATAATCGGTGAATGGCAATTCATGATTATATGATAACTAGGAATTTGAGACGCCCAATGTAGCAGCTGGTTGGATAAGAGAACAGAGCAAAATATTTTGATGATTTGTATCTAAGTTAAATTTTAGGATTAAATAAATAAGACTATAAGAGAAGAGGATTGCGTTTCGAAAATCCTCTTGCGTCAAGAGTAAAGAGATATATGATCTGTTTGGCCTAATTTTTAAAACTGCTTTTATACTTTCAAAACTAAATCTGGATCAACCGTTTCTATAAGCTCAATTTAAAAAAAAAAAGTGATTTTTTATAACATAAAGCAAGCAGAAGCTGCAAATGCTGCTTTGAAAATATAAAATTACCCTTATTATTTTTTTATTTTCAATTTTTTTTATTTTCAAGAAAACATACTTTTCTCTCATTTATATAATTTTAAAAATAAAATAAATTGAAAAATAATATTAATTCATTTTTTTTTTCTCTCCCCTCCTATCCTGCTCGCACAACTATTACTTCATTTATGTTCCTTGACTATGGATCTTTTAGTTTGGAAAAGGATAAAAAACTGTGGAGTTTTTTAGTCCGTATTTTGTAAAAATGTATTGTACTGATAGTCCGACCGAGAAAAATTCTTGTATAGGCTAAATTGGTATACGATTTTTAGCGGTATGAATTGATTGAATCACGGTTGAATCACGATTTAACATAAAATACCATAATACTGACATTTCCAATATAACCTTCGATACGATTTTACAATCATTGAATCTGTGATAATCGATAAATATTATAAATCTTAGGGTGTGCCTACGGTGATATGCATGTCACGGTGACTTGCACTTTCCGGTCGACCTCAGCTAGGATTAGGTCGACCTCATTTAGAATTCGGTCGACCTCATATAGGATCCGGTCGACCTCATTTAGGATTCGGTCGACCTCATATAGGATCCGGTCGACCTAATATGTTGTTTCAGTGTAAAAACAGTTCACGGTGCTTACTTTGGATATTCATATCATACAATTGGCTAGATGGAAATTGAAGACTAATGACTTGTTTTGAAGCTGGAGTGTCCCTCTACATATTGAAGTGATTGATAGCTCGATAGGAAGTCCAGAAGACCATTTTTGAACCTCATCAAAAGGCTATGCCAAAACTAGGAAACTGCCTAGAAATGGCTAAGTCTGGAAACGTGTTTGTGAAGTCTATTTTTGAGCTCAATTCGAGAAGCATGAATGCGAGTCGAGTCTAGAAGCCTCTACCACGTTAAATTAGGTATGTTTTTATACAAATTCAAGGAATTGAATGAAAGATTGGATATCTTTAAGGCTTCAAACAAAAGGGTCGAAGTTGCTACGAAGGCTGTTTTTCTGGCAAACTTTGAGCACAAGCAAGCTGCCAGAAAAACAGCCTTCGTAGCAACTTCGAGCCTTTTGTTTGAAGCCTTAAAGATATTGAATCTTTCATCCAATGCCTTGCCTTTGTATAAAAAAGTACGCAATTTAACGTGGTAGAGGCCCCTGGACTTGACTCGCATCCATGATTCTCAAATTGAGCTCCAAAGTAGGCTTGACAAACACGTTGCCAGACTTAGCCATTTTCAGGCAGTTTCCCAATTTTGGCATAGCCTTTTGGTCAGATTCAAAAAAGGTCTTCTGGACTTTCTATTGAGCTCCCAAGTACTTTAATGTGTAGATGGACATTTCAGCTTCAAAACAAGCCTTTAATCTCCAATTTCCATCTAGCCAATTGTAAGATATGAATCTCCAAAGTAGGCACCATGAAACTGTTTTTACACTGAAACAACTGATTAGGTCGACCTGATCCTATATGAGGTCGACCGAAAAGTGCATGTCACCGTAACATGCATGTCACCGTAGCAAAGTCCTAAATGTTATTGGTGATTTTCCCTATATAATTGCCCCGTTCCAAATAAAGTGGTCCATAAATGACCCGTCGCCTAAAAAAGTTTATGAATTTGAGCCCAACCAAAGAATTAGGGGAAACAACACACTACAATAATAGCTAAACTTAGTGAACAGTAACAAATGTTTTGGTTTATATAGGGTTAATATTTTCGTATGGGCTAAACTTTGACCAAAATAAATATCATGGTCTATCTTTTCGATCTATAACATCCTGACCGAACTATACACTAAAATAAACAATTTGGCCAGATCCGACTTTTGACCGTTAACTTGGACGGTCAAACACGTTGACCGTTAGTCAACGTGCCATGTCACTGCCAAGTCAGCATAAAATATTTAAAATAATTCACAATTTCCGTACATTCCCTAATTTTAAATTATTATAAATTAAAAAAATCATATAATACCTTAGTTAAACCAAAAATAAAAAAATGAAAAAATTAAATATTTATCAGATCTTCTGACTTGGCAGTGACGTGGCGCGTTGACCGTTAGTCAATGCGTTTGACCGTCCAAGTTAACGGTCCAACATCGGGTTTGGCCAAATTGTTTATTTTAGTGTATAGTTCGGGCCAGGGTGTTATAGATCGAAAAGATTGGTCAGAATGTTTATTTTGGTCAAAGTTCAGGCCATACAAAAATATTGCCCGTTAGTCAACGCGTTTGACCGTCCAAGTTAACGGTCCAACATCGGGTTTGGCCAAATTATTTATTTTGGTGTATAGTTCGGGCCAGGATGTTATAGATCGAAAAGATTGGCCAGGATGTTATAGATCAAAAAGATTGGCCAGGATGTTTATTTTTGTCAAAGTTTAGGCCTTAAGAAAATATTAACCCTTATATATACTAAAGAATGTGAAGAGTAAAGCAAGGACGAATTGGATAGCATGGATGGGTTACATTAGAGGTTGTCTATGAGGAAAAACGAATTGAGGTTTAGGCGCGTACGTACAATGTTCATAATTCAAGCCAACTGATCGAATAAGTACCCTCCATTAACTAGTCGCACGCGATCATCTTACTATTTGTAGATGAGGAGCACATTGTAGAAGAGGGTTCATTATATGTATGAGGTACTGAAAAGTTGCTTAAATAGCATGCAGTATTGTGTTTCCCACAATGAGGAAACCCCATGGTATGTTACGTCACGATCGGTGCCTGACGCGGGCACCACTACTCTCTCTAGATGGGTAGGTTACTTCATATTACTCCTTGTAAATGAACTTTTAAATACTAAGTGTTTATGTGGAATTTGGAACATGCTGAGATTTTACTCATATATCATCATGAACTTTTAATACTCTAGAGTTGTCATTACTTTTAGTTATTTTACATTATATTAATCAATTAATTAACAAAAAATCAATAATATAAATAAATGTGCGAACATGAGTTAGATTTTCCATGCACCTTCTTGTGTTCTAGTTTCATTTGAATTTTTCATGGAAAATAGAGCTCTTTGTTCTCCCGGTTCTTATATATGTTAGTATATGTTACTTTTGAAATGGAGAACAAGTTACTCTAAAAAAAAATGGAGAACAAGTAATTGGTAATTTATATATGTTACGGTAAAGTTAAGTGAAACATCTTTATTATTATTATTATTATTATTATTATTATCCTATCCAATATTTGGATATTATTATCATGAGTGGAAGCAGAATAAATAAAGGTTTACAAAAAATTAGTGGGTAGCCGAGATACAATCTGGGCCCCCACTCCCTTAGCTATAGAAAAACTAAGTCCAGTAAAAATGTACGCGACTGCCCGAGCCCCTGCATCTTGAGACATGGAGAATTTCTGGATCCTCTTGAGCAAAGCCACGGCGTTTGTATCCAACTCTCCCAGCGAAGAAAAAGAAAAGGGCAGGAAACCGTAACCAACCGCCATACACAAGTCCCGGTACTTGGCACACTTTCGCTGAGCATCATCAGCAACAACTCGGCCAGGCACAAAATCGGTCATCCCAGTCTGAGTCAGAGGGCATTATCCTTATTAGTACGTGTTGTCCTTGTTTGTATACATATCATAAACATAGGGTAAATACCACATTTGGTCACTGAGATGACTAAATCATGTCATGTTTAGTCACTAGAAAAAACTAATATCAATTTTGGTCACTCGAATTTCTGAAACATGTCACATTTAGTCACTCTCTCATTAGTTTCCGTCCAACTCCATTATCGGAGAGTGACTAAATGTGACATGTTTCACTAATTCGAGTGACATTCATAAGAAAAAAAAGTATTTCGATTGACCAGAGCTGGACAGAGCCTAACGGGAGAGTGGCTAAATGTGACGTGTTTTTAGTAATTCGAATGACCAAAATTGATATTAATTTTTTCTAGAAACTAATCATAACAGGATTTAGTAATCCCAATGACCAAATGTGGCAATTACCCCATAAACATGAGAAACAAATAGAAAATGATAGTAAGATAATTTGTACTTTAAGTTATAAATCCCAAACTCTTAAATCCAATAAATAAAAGATTGTTTCAAATCCACAATATCTCAATTCCTTGATAACTCCTTAAATTTTTGAATCACCCAATCCTAGTTTTAAATTCATGAAATAAACAACCTTTTGAGATGATTGTTGGATTCCTAGAATTTGATGAGGGCATCAAAGGGCCAATCACACGTTCTAAGGCAAAGGCAATGAGAGACAAGTTTGCAACGTATTTGCGATGTTATTTCTCAAGCATGGACGTGGAGCTATTCAAAAGCAAGCCATGTATGATGTTACAAATTTTGTGACACACCCTCGCCCGGAAATTTTGTGAAGTACCTATATATTTTTGGTACAAATTTTTTTAATTCGGGACTTCCGACACACCTTAAATAATTGTGAGCGACACACCTTCATTATACGAGAACGATTTTCTTGTTATAAAGTTATGTATCTTAATGAGTAATACACAATAATAAGTAAATTCAAATAAGTATGCTTGTTTTAGAGTAACCAACACCACAACCTAGAGATGACAATAGAGCGGGTTTGCCTAAACCAACCTCATCCCCATTTCCAAATATTCAAACTCATACCCGTCTCATACCCATGCAGTGAAAGGTCTTACAAACTCATCCCCATACCCGTGGTTTTCTGATACCCATGGGTAATACCGCCCCAACAACTACTCACCATTAATAATAGAATATGGTGACAAATATGATGACAAATATGGATACTACCCACCCAAAATTATGGAACTAATACATAAGAGGATGAAATTAAGGTTTGGTTGCCATCAATTACATTTTAACACTTTATTTTTTCTTTTAATTACTCTTCATTTGATTGACAAATTACCATACACTAACTATATTTTATGTATATAACATAATATCCTTGGTAGGGCGGGTTTGGGTATGGGTATGGGGCTGGAGAGTTAAAAACCATACCCGCCCCATACCGATCAACCTTTTTGGGGGGTTTTATCCATACTCACCCCATACCCAGTCAATGCAGGGATTCTCGTATTGACTGGGTCGGAGGAGGTCGGGTACCCGCGACCATGGGTTTGGTTGTCATCCCTACCACAACCCAACAATGGAAAAAACAAACATAACCCCATTCTTTGAAACTCACCGTTTCCACCCCTTGACCCATCCTTTATTGAAAATAAAAAACTCACTCTTACCCCGTTTTAGTTTCTAATTACCGAGAGCCACTACCACATCTCCCTTTTCTTTTACCCTTTAGTTTTACTTGCTTTTGGAAGTTGGTGTTGACTTTACATGTTGCAATTGAAAGTTGCGAAAGATTTCAGCTGTGAAGATAATAAGGAATGAACTTTGAAATCGGTTGAGTGACCAATTTATGAATAATTGTTTAGTTGTGTATATAGAAAAGGATTTGCTTCGCAACATAAGCAATGAATGTATTTATAGATATTTCTAGTAAATATGAACTTTATGAATTAATTTCTAGTAATTTCTATTTAATTTCTATTAATTTTTTAATAATTTTTTAAATTAATTTTTAAATTATTATATTATTTTATCAGCACACACCTCTCCGGCAATTCTGGGTCCGCCACTGCCGAGAAGCTTGAATCAGCGGCGCGTCTTCCTCCTCTGTGCGGTGACCGAGAAGAAGCGGCGCTTCATCTTCCTACTGTTACGAAATTTTTATGAGCTGAATGTTGGGTGTTTTGTTTTGCAGATCGGAGGTCGAGAAAATCGATCCTTTGCTCGATTGGGTGAACTGGTGAAGTCAAAATTCGAGTTCATTTGCCGGTGTGAAGCTCCCTCGAAGCAGCCGAGCTTCCCTTTCCCCACCAGCAGCGGCGACTTCCTTGCCGGCGTGAAGCTTCATCGATTTCAGGTGAGCTTCCCCTTCCTGCTTCCCTTCCCCCAGCAGCAGTGGCGGCGCCCTCTGTTAGTTGACGACGTTTTTGGCGGGTGACGCGATTTTGGGGATTTCCCCACGTCCCGTTTATTTGGTTAAATTCCAATTTAGTCATAAAATTTATTCATGTGTGTTAAATTGGACATGAAACTGCCCGGTGCCCTCCAGCTCCAAGATACAAAGCCACCCAATGGCCGTTCAGCTTTGATGAGGGACATCTTCTCTCAATTTCAAGAACCAATGGCTCTCCGTCCAATTTACTTTCGCGGGTCATTCTTGAGACCCAACCTTTTCCATTTTCCTCGTAAGCTCAAGCCATTGGACTCACCCTCTACTACTCCATTTAGCTCCACAATCAATCACAGGAAGGTAAGTCAGATTTCGCGCCAGTTAACCCATATTGCAGTTCATCAACTTAGCCATTTGTTTGGAACTATACCTGGAATTATGAAGTGTTCAGTAGAATAACGCTCAACTTTGAAGTTCGTCCTTTCGTGTTCTGTTCCTTTTGTAGCGTTTCTACCAGAATGTTAGCAGGCCCCAAGTGGCCTACCATGTGTATGATGAAATTCCCCACCAGCAAAATGAAGGGATATCTGGCGGAACTGGATTACTATACCTGATGGATCAGCGAGATATTCGGGCAAATTGTCAGACCTATCTATGGCTTCTGGACTCTTGTCTTACTTCTGGGTTGTTAGCGGATTGCCAGAAGCTTCATGGGAGGATTTTGAAGGTGGGATTTGATAGGGAAATCATCATCTGTGATAAGCTTATTGATGTCTGTTTCACTTCTGGGGATTTAAATGGTGTCGTCAAGGTTTTTGAGGATATGCCTGAGAGAGATGTTCATGCTTGGAACAAGATCTTATCAGGGTTTTCTGCGAGGAAAATGAGTAAGAAGGTTCTGGAACTGTTCTCTCAAATGTTAGCAGAAGCTGTGAGCCCCAATGAATATACCTTTGCCAATGCGTTGCGGGCTTGTAATAATGGTGGAATTGATTTTGGTTTCGTTAAGCAGATTCATGCAAGGATCATTTTCCATGGTGTGGATTCTAATCCTATAGCATTGAATCCTCTTATTGATCTGTATGCTAAAATGGGGTTAATCTCTTCAGCTAAACGGGTTTTTGACAATTTAGATTGGAAAGATAGTGTTTCTTGGGTTGCTATGATAGCTGGTCATTCAAAAAATGGGTGTGAAGGTGAAGCCCTACACCTATTTTGTGAAATGCATGCAGAAGGAACATCTCTCACTCCGTATGTATTTTCCAGTGTTTTAAGTGCCTGCACCAAAGGACAGCTGTTTGAAACTGGGATGCAGCTTCATGCCCTGACTATCAAGCAGGGATTTTCTTCTGAAACATTTGTATGCAATGCTTTAGTGACATTGTATTCTCGTTTGGGGAATTTCACATCTGCTGAGCAAGTTTTCAGCAAACTGAAGGATAAGGACGGGGTTTCCTACAACTCTTTAATTTCTGGGCTAGCTCAACAAGGATTCAGTGATAGAGCTCTGGAATTGTTTGAGAAAATGCAGGTGGAAGGATTAGAGCCAGATTGCGTTACTGTGGCTAGTCTCTTGAGTGTTTGTGCCTCAACTAAAACTCTTCTTAGAGGGAAACAACTCCATTCCTATGCACTGAAGGCAGGAATGTCCGGAGATAGTATAATTGAAGGTGCTTTGTTAGATCTTTATGTGAAATCCTCAGACATAAAAACTGCACATGATTTTTTCCTTACCACGCAGAATGAGAATGTGGTTTTATGGAATGTGATGCTTGTGGCCTATGGACAATTAGATGATCTAAGTCAGTCATTTAGACTATTTAAGGAAATGCAGGTTAAAGGGCTGGTGCCTAACCAGTTTACTTATCCTAGTATTTTGAGGACCTGTACCTTGTCGGGAGCTCTTTATCTGGGAGAGCAGATTCATACACTAGTCATGAAGACTGGTTTTCACTTCAATGTCTATGTCTGCAGTGTGCTTATTGATATGTATGCTAAACACGGGAAATTAGACACAGCACTAACTATTCTTCGAAGACTTGGTGAGGAAGATGTAGTCTCATGGACCGCAATGATTGCTGGATGCACACAACATGATTTGTTTAATGAGGCTCTTAAACTTTTTGAGGAAATGCTAAGCCGTGGAATTCAAGCAGACAGTATCGGGTTTTCTAGTGCAATCAGTGCATGTGCTGGAATTCAAGCACTTAATCAAGGGCAACAAATTCAAGCACAAGCTTACTTATCTGGTCATTCTGTAAATCTTTCGATTTCTAATGCTCTTGTTAGCCTTTATGCAAGATGTGGTAAGACTCAAGAAGCATATTTGGTGTTTAACAATATGGATACCAAAGATAGTATATCATGGAACGGATTAATATCAGGATTTTCTCAAAGTGGTCATTATGAGGAAGCACTGAACGTATTTAATCAAATGAACAAAGCGGAAGTTGAACCTAGTGTGTTCACATTCACTTCTGCAGTAAGTGCCGCTGGAAATCTGGCGGAGGTAAAGCAAGGTAAGCACATACAAGCTATGATCTTCAAAAGAGGTTTTGATTCTGAAATCGAGATTTCTAATGCTTTGATCACAATGTACGCCAAGTGTGGTAGCATCAGTGATTCCAAGAGAAAGTTCCTTGAGATGGCTGAAAAAAATGATGTTACTTGGAATGCCATGATCACTGCCTACTCTCAGCATGGAGATGGACTGCAAGCAGTAAATCATTTTGAGAACATGAAAAAGTCAGGTTCCCTACCGAACCATGTAACTTTTATAGGGGTTTTAACAGCCTGTAGCCATGTGGGTTTGGTGAATGAGGGTATCTGCTACTTTGAGTCCATGAAAAAAGAGCATGGGTTAGTACCTAAGCCGGAACATTATGCTTGTGTCGTGGATCTTCTCAGTCGGGCTGGTCATTTGAGTCGTGCAAGAAAATTTGTAGAGGAAATGCCAATAAAACCAGATCCGATGGTTTGGAGGACCCTTTTAAGTTCTTGTATAGTGCATAAGAACATTGAACTGGGAGAGCTTGCAGCTAAAAATCTTCTAGATTTGGAGCCTGAAGATTCAGCAAGCTACGTTCTTTTATCAAATATGTATGCAGTGTCAAGAAGATGGAATTATAGGGATCAAACCAGGGAAATGATGAAGAACAGGGGAGTGAGAAAAGAGCCAGGTCGTAGTTGGATCGAGGTTATGAACAAAATTCACGCATTCTTTGTTGGAGATAAACTTCATCCACTGGCAGATGAAATATACGAGTATCTGGAGGAACTCAATAATCGAGCAGCTGATATTGGTTATGTCCAAGATCATAATAGCCTTTTAAATGAAACAGAGATGGAGCAGAAGGATCCAACTCTATATGTTCATAGTGAGAAATTGGCTGTAACCTTTGCACTTCTTAGTTTGCCTGTTGGAATTCCCATACGAGTGATGAAAAACCTCCGTGTCTGCAGTGATTGCCACAATTGGATCAAGTTTATATCCAGGATTTCAAATAGGGAGATTGTAGTGCGAGATGCATACCGTTTTCACCATTTTGAAAATGGTAATTGTTCATGTAAAGATTTTTGGTGAGTAAGCTGCATTGGGACCATTCTAAACTGGTGATCTACAAGTGGGTCTGAAAAGACAGGAGCTTCCGCCTTTCAGGAACTGAAGCACCTGGTAAGATTAACTGTCTGTACATTATACTTTTTGTTTCAATTCTTCATCCTGGTAATCATGTTAATGTCTTTATTAAGTCTTTGTTAATCTTGTTTATTCATAAATTATGCAGTAACCTTCGTATCAAGTGCTTTGATACCTAAAGCACAACATTGTTTGATAACCGTCTATAAAACAAATGCTATTTAGAGTTTTGTAGTGTCTGCAACAAGGTTGACTAGTGATTGATTTCCATTCTCTATTTGCTTCAGGTTCCTGAATCTTCATCATCTGCAACGACCTATACTTGTGCACTTCCTTTGGAGGCCGTAGTTCACACCTGCTCCCAAATGAGAAGTTGCCCTGTGAAATATCGCAGAATGAAGTACTACTGCCCCTGAATCTCAGCACCCGGCAAAGATGCTCCTTGATCTAATCAAAGATTCGTTAACAGCAAGGGAGCAATAGAATCAATCCATGTAATGAATGTAAACCTTGAGGAATCAGGATGTTCTACTTCAGGAGTTGCTAAATGTGGCACCAACAGTCTAATGTGAAAGATGCGACAATGAAGCTGGTGGTCAATTCTAGAGGAACTTGGAATGTAAAGGCCCTTGACGTGGTGATTTGAGGCTTGATGTGTCAAACTTGGTCTTGGCCTTAAAATGAAGGTACCTGGTGTCTCTTCACTCTGCTCTAGGCATTGCACTATATCCTCTTATTATCCTTTCTTGGTTGGGCCTGTTTCATTTGTGCATAGGTCTTGCTGAAGTTCACAGAGAAAACGAGGATCTTCAAGCACGGAAGGCTCTTACTTGAGCTACAAGTAATATGACCTTTCTCTTCACCTATTAAGATCTTTCTGTCCTTAAAGATGAGTCTGGGTTTCGAACATGGAATTTAGCAATTGCAGTGGGGGAATCTGCTACAAGTTATAATTGGCTTCCTAACGATTGCTCCAGCACCATCACCAGCACCATGGTAGATCTCAGCTCCGATCCGAGTCTATGAAACTCGAAACTGGTCCAATATTTCCGGGGACAATGATATATGAGTTTTTTTCTTTCCTTTTTCATGATAAGCTTTTTTTATATGACTAAATATGCTCCGTCTTTGCGGCTAGTGACCGATAGCATAGTAAATATGTTGTATACAAAAATTAACATTTTGTACTCATAAGACATAACTGCAAAAGGGCTAAATTGCAAGTTTGGTCACTTGAATTACTAGTAAAGTTCACGTTAGCCACTAGAATTACTTTATTCCATCTGTAGTCACTTAGATTAGTTTAGGAGTTCAAATTAGGTCCCTGGCCATTAGTCTCCATTAACTTTTGCTGATGTGGCGGTCAACTCTTATAGTTGATCCTTAAATGAGTAATGTGACAATTAGAAAAATAATTAAATAATTAAATTTAATTTTTATGCTTTTCCTTCTTCAATTCGTATCTATCCTGATGATGATCCTTCATTTGATATTGGGATTGAGTACAGTAATCTTCCCAAGGTATGCTCGAAGTGTAGTGTCTTTGGACATAACTGTGAGGCTGAACCTCATAGAGTTTGGGTTCAGAAGCAGAAGACTGCGAAGGTTAGGGCGGTTATGGAGACCTCAACTGAGAATGAAAGAGTAGAAGGGGCTGAAGTAGAGGAAGAAATTCTAAAGCAGTTGCAGGAAAGTGTTTTACAAAGTGTGTTTAGTAGCCTGGAGGAGGGGGTTGAGACACAGGTTGTTCAAGAGACTGTTGCTCAGTCTGTTCACAATGTTGTTGAACACCAGGTGAGTGCTAATAAGGTCTTTGGGGATGCAACTGATACTCCTTTATCAACAGGGGGGGTTCGAGTAAATTTTGCAGAGGTGGTGAAAGGGTAAGCAGCTAATGTTGGGTCTCCTGTCACACCTGTGCAAGTGCCTGAGGGTAGTAAATCACCTCCATTGGGAGGGAGTTTGCGACCTCCGGTCACTGCTCGAATTGCAGAATCTTCCGCATCAAGGATTGCAGGGTTGGAGAGTAAGATCCCCTAGTGCAGTTAGTAAGGGAAAGCAGATTTGGATAGATCCTCCTGAAGTTAAGAAGAGAGGGGGTAAAAAAGTCAGATTGACTCACTTGTGCTTTGCGGATGACCTATTGGTATTCTCGGATGGTTCTAATCTTGGTCTGCAGAGTGTACAGAATGTGTTGAATGAATTTTATCACCTATCTGGCTTGAAGTCTAATCCAAGTAAATGTGAGGTCTATTTTGGAGGGATGGATAAGGAAGAGATGATTGCTAGGGCTGCTCGATTTGGGTATCAGTTGGGGAACTTTCATGTTCGCTATCTAGGTGTGCCACTGATTGCAGGGAAGTTAACAGTTGCTGCTTGTAGGCCATTGATTGATAGGCTTACTGGAAGGATTAAGGGATGGAAGGCCAAATCTCTATCGTATGCAGGAAAGGTGGAATTGGTGAGTTCTGTGCTGTATAGTATCACTCAGTATTGGATGAGTGTCTTCTCTCTACCTAAACAGGTCCTCAAGGAGATAGAAAGAGTTTGTAGTGATTTCTTGTGGGATGTGGGAGATGGACCAAGGCTTAAAGCTAAAATAGCCTGGAAATACTTAACTTACCCCAAGGAAGAAGGTGGGTTAGGGTTGAGAGATATGTATGCTTGGAATAATGCTTGTATCTGCAGACAAATATGGGCTATCATGCTACAGCAAGGGTCGCTTTGGGTGGCATGGACACTGACATACAAACTGAAAGGGAGGAGTTTTTGGGAGACTAGCATTGATGGTTCTTGGAACTGGAAGAGGCTGTTGAAGCTGAGAGGTAAACTTCCTCACCTTTTCAGTTTGATTAGTGGCAAAGTATACTGGAATGACACTGTGATGCCAAGGTACTCTGTGAAAATGGTTTGGGAGTCACTAAGACCTAAACTAAGTCCTGTTTCATGGGTTGGTCTGGAAGGCTCCTTTTATCCCCAGGAACAGATTCTTGGTGTGGCTTATCATCAAAGACAGAATTCAGACCAAGGATAAAATGAAGAGATGGGGTTTTGCAGGTTCGGACTTATGCAGTCTATGTAATAAGCACCCAGAAAGCAGAGATCATCTATTTGCACAGTGTGAGTTTTTTAGGAAGCTCTTTCATGAACTGTTGGGGGGGGGGGGGGGGGGGGGGTTCTTGCCAAGGGATTGGGAGGAAGGGCTGCAGTGGGCAATTAGGAAGTTTGGGAAGAAAGGGACAGAAGAAGGGCATGGTAGAATTGTGTGGCAGTCAATGATCAGCCATGTATGGAGAGAACGTTGCACTAAAGTTTATGAAGGGACAAATAGAAATGTGGAAGGTTTGAAGAAGGTAATTAAGAATGAGATTCTGGTGATGATGTTGGAAAAGGAAGCTGCCAAGTTCTGGTACTCAGAAACTGCATCTTCTTTGTGATTGGGAAGCTTTACCCGAGGGCTATAGTTAGCTATAGTTTGTTTTGTTAGTGGTTTTGGTCTGTTTTGCCCTATTTCTACAAGGTTACCTAGCTAGAAAGGTTTGTTTCCAGCAACCCTTTTCTTTTATGGAATGGAAAGAATTTAATCCATAAAAAAAGGTTATAAACAACGACAATGGCAGAGGATCGAACAATCAAACAACAGTGGCGGCGGAATCACCACCATCACCTCCATATCGTCAACCATCCGGCGGCAGAGCTCGAAAGCAATGAGGTTCCGGGGGAGCGGGACCTCATCCAAACACGCCGAGCCTAGGAATTCACTCTCTCCGATCTCGCAGCTGCCACCGACGGGTTCGCATCGGAGAACAAGATCGGCGCCGGTAGCTACCACATCGTCTACAGAGGCAAGCTCGTCGACGGTAGAGAAGTCGCGATATGTCTCATTCGTCAACCCTGACGCCTACTCCTTTCAGGATCACCCTCAAGTAGCAATTGTCCTCGTATGTCTTCCTCACGCCACGTAGGCTCGTGAAGTAGAGGATCACTCTGTCTTTCTCTTTCGCCGGCTTCTTCAAATGGGAAGGGTGGCTTGGGAAGAGCTCCCGTAGTGACTTCCTGAAAATCGAGATGATGTTAGGGTCGAAGTAGTCCTTCCCACATTTTCCCGAATGCGGCTTCTTATAAATTGCTTCTTCCTCTTCTGCTCCTGCTTTTGTTTCTTCGATTGCTGATGTCGGTGGTTGCGGTGCATTGGGAGAATCGACCCCTCCGTCGTTCACCGACTCGAGCTTCAGAGAGCCGAGAGTGGAGGAAGTGAGGGCTTCTAGATGGTAGTTGTCGGATTTGTGTTGGGGCGGGTGGATTACGTGCATCGAATAGCTTCTGGGCACGGGAATACGGAGCTTGGCAGTGCTTGCATCGCTTGTTGTGATGCTTCGAATTCACACAACCCATCTCTCCTAGTGGAATGTCGATGCAACTAGAGGGATCGAATACCTACACAATTACGTTGTTGTTGTTTGAATTGTTCGATCCTCTGCCACTTTCGTTGTTTGTGACCTTTTTTTAATTATTTTTTATTTATTTTAATAATGAGGTGGAAATTATTAAAAAATAAATTTTATTATTTTTTATTTGCCACGTCACTCATTTAACGGTCAACTATAAGAGTTGACCGCCACATCAGCAAAAGTTAACGGAGACTAACGGCCAGTGACCAAACTTGAACTCCTAACCTAATCTAAGTGACTACGGATGGAATAAAGTAATTTTAGTGGCTAACGTGAATTTTACTAGTAATTCAAGTGACCAAACTTGCAATTGACCCCTTTACATCCAGAAAAATCACAAATATTTTGTGGGAGAATTCTATAGTAATTTGAACCTGCTGACCAATGAGATTATGGATCAAAGGAGGGTGATCTAAATATTATTGAGTAATAAGAACTTGTTTGATTTGGAGCACGAATAAAAATTAATAGAGAATTCATGAAATTTTTGTGTAGGTAATGAAAAATTAATTATATATATGTTTTAGTAAAAAAAAACTCAAAAATTTGAGATGTAAAAGAAAACAGAAATAGATAATGTGAAAAACTTCACTAAAGTAAATGAAAAAGATGAAATATTCTAGCATATAGTTCCGTCGGTTTCTAGGGCACTATCATCCTCTTTGATGGGGAGTGAGTGGTTCCATTGTTGTCTTCTTATTCAAAATTGGACGAGATAAGTAATTATACAAAATCAAATACCGTCAAAAATGGTTTTACCTAAAGAAACAAAAAGATATAAACTCAAAATCCACATAAAAGATTTAGAGAGAGTTGGAATATGGAGAGAATTATGATCAGGGGCGGAGCCATGATTTCGAGACCGGGGGCCGAAAATAATTAAACAAAACGTATGTAGTAATGGTGGATTGAACCCGTGTGTTTTAAAACACCAATTAAACTTGTCTACCATTAGACCATATGACTATTACACAAGAAATTTATGGAACAAGTTCTACTTATAAAATTCGTACTAAATATCATTACGATCCTAGGAGCCGAGACCAATCCCCGGGGGAGGGGGAAGGCGGGGCCCACCCTAGCTTAAGTGTAGCTTTGCCCCTGATTATGGTTGTCAAACAGGTGGCATTGTTTGTCGGTACAACCGGGTTTAATAGTTATCGGTTACAAAATTAACTGGAATGCCCCTAGTATGACCTGCATAACCAAATTTTGACATCTAAACAAAATGATGCTGATTTGGTGAATTTAATTAACAATTTTTTTTCTTGAATTTGATAGTTAAATGCTTATCTTATTTGCAAGCTTCAAGTATGAATGTTTAGATGTTTATGTTATTTGTTGAATTCAAGTATAAGCATTTGGATGTTTGCGTTTAATGTTATATTTCAAGATTAAACGAATCTCATGCTTTGGGTTAGTGAATTGGGGGATGAGATTCATGCATTAGGGGTTAGGGTATCATGCCCCAAACTCCGGTTAATTCATTGTCTAAATAGCAAAACTCAATGGGGCGTACGCTAGATTAGCGTACGCCCGTTGAGGTTTGCTATTTAGACAATGAATTAACCGGAGTTTGGGGCATGATACCCTAACCCCTAATGCATGAATCTCATCCTAGCGTACGCCCGTTGAGGTTTGCTATTTAGACAATGAATTAACCGGAGTTTGGGACATGATACTATATTTTAACCGCTAATTTACTAAACCAAAACATGAGATTCGTTTAATCCTAACCTCTATAGCTAAATTCATTTAGTGTTAATGATTTTCACTTCCCAGCGTGTTTTGCTAAAACCGACATGAACTGGCATAAACATGTTGTACCACCAATCGTACTATTCCACTTGTTAAAGCTGCATAACGTTATAAATTTTTGACAACCTTGAATAGTAGTGTTCTCACAACTTGATGAAGACCCAAATAAGTTTTTGATAACCTATAGATGGAACTATGGCCAACGTACATATATGGATAGTCACAACTTTATACAATGTTCCAAGGGGAATACATTTTGTTATTATTATATAGTTAGTATTTTTTTTATTTTTGCTATAGATATTTCGAAAAAGGAAAAAAAGATGAGAATATACAATTTTTTTGTTCTGTTAATAATATCACTCATGGGTTTGCACAAATACATTGTCACTTTCAAATTGTTCTAAAACTTAAGGACTAATTTCACTACAACAGTCCAACTATAAAAATGTCACTTCTATTCTAAAGTATTCAATATAACCATTAAAATAGCAGTATTAAGGCCTTCTTTAGATAGAGGTTTAATTCCTACTTGAACTAACCCGATATGAATATAGTTGTACTTCTTTTTGTTCTGTTGATTAGAAATTTGAGACAAAAGTTTGATGGTTTCATAATCATTGAAAAGATGAATATCTCTTTCTTCGGTTTTGGTTCTAACCAAATTGATAAATATAATCTTATTTATTTATTTATCTCTAATACTTGCAACTCGAGGAAGAGGACTCGACGGGGAAAGACTAGCATGCTAACACTTTTTTTGTTAGCATGATGCTAATACTAGCTCTAGCCAATATGAACATTTCGTTTGAATGTCTTTTTCACTTAAATAAGTTGACCACAATTAATGAAGGGAAAATGAAGGAGGGCACGCTGGTCATTAATAAAAGTTAGGAAAATGGAGAAGGGGAACCAACCATCCTTTTTGCATTAAATGTGAGGAAGGCAGGGGGACCACAGAAATAGGTCAGAACCTTCTCAAAGCATGTCAGAACCTCCACAAAGTAAACCAGAACCTCCTCAAAGTATACCAGAACCTCAAAATAGGTCAGAACCTCCTCAAAGTAGGCTAGAACGTCAAAGTATGCCAGAAGTTTTCAAAGCAGGCCAGAAGTTTCTTAGAAGTGGACCTGTTAGTAAATTTTAAAAAGTTTAGGTACTAAAATGTAATTTTCCATTAATTTTTTAGGACTCAAATATTAGAAATTACTAAATAGTAATATCTATTAAGTTCAGGTATAAAAATTATAATTTGTTAGTGAAACATATAAAAGCAACGTAAATTAAAGGGGAGGAGAAGGGGAAGGAGAAGAGATAGTTACTATAATACCCTTAGAGTAAGTGTTATTATGGTGCTAACACTAAAGTGTGTCAGCACCCTATCCACTCCCTTCGACGGGGGAGATGAGAAAGATAGAATTTTATAATTTAATTTTGATTAAAAATAATATGATGTGTTAATGATGTGGCATATAAGTGGCCGCCATAACACTAAAGTCAACATCACTTTGACTAACCTTCTAGTGGAATTAGCCAAAAAGTTAATACCAAGTTAAGAATTCTACATTGTTTCTACACATTCAATACGCAATGTGTGTGAGTTTAAATTATCCTCCATTTATAAGATATTTATAAATTAGATTAATTATTGAATTCAAATTAAAATAATCAAAATATCAAACACCAAATACAAACTTACGGGAATTAGTGGGCTATCTAACTCTAGTAAAAAAATCTTATCATTTTTAGATTTTAGGTTTTTGTATTTTTTTATTTAGAAAGATACAACAAATTTATTTAGTTTTATTGGTAATGATTTTTTTGTTTTGTTTAAGGAGACCATGATTCAAATATAAAGACCGATATATTTTTATTCTATTAATAAGAAATAAACAAATAATTGTGAAAGAAAAGTCTACCCTATATATATATATATATATATATATATATATATATATATATATATATATATGGTGACTACTTCAGTGCACTCACAAAAATGAGTGCGTTCAATGCACCCAACTAAAAAACTAGTCTTAAGGTGTCAGATGTTGAATTTTAATTTGTAGAATCAGTGTAATATGATGATATAACGTATGATAACAACTAATTAGCCGATTACCCTAAGCCTTAGACCTCCAATTTTGAGTTCTATCCCTAAACCCCAAATTGTAAACCCTAACCCTAACCCTAAATCTCTAAACTCTAAATCCTTCAAATTAAGGTAAATCTTCAATGGTTTTTGTGCAAATTCATGTGCGTTATTGTTCATCACATCATAAGTGATGATTGACATCATTTTTACATAAATCGCATGTTTAAAATGATGGTTATGAAGCGAGTGCACTGAACGCACCCAAAAAAGTGAGTGCACCGAAGACGCCACCATATATATATATATATATATATATATTAACAAAGTCAATAAGAGGAATAGATAGTCACAAAGTCACAATACAGAACTTAACGCCGTGCGGAAGTCGACCAATAGTCGAACTTCCGATGAAAGGGCTTGTTTTGCCACCAAATGGGCGGCCCTGTTAAAGCTGCGCTTAGCATAAGAGCACGAGCAGAACTCAAACGCCTGCGCTAGCCGGTGTACATCTTCCAGTACAGCTCCCCCCATCGCGTGTTGGCGGTCGCCGGATAGCACTCGCCGAATCACCAGTTGAGCATCCCCAAAAAATTTGACAGTAAGAAAACCATGGGTTAGGCAGCAATCCATAGCATCACGGAGCGCTAGAAGTTCAGCTAGAAAAGGATCCTGTATTCCATCATAGTACTTACCAAATGCAAAGGTGAGCGCGCCAAAAGAGTCAAATCCAACGAAGCCCACGTTGCAGCCCGACCCCGTTTGATGGCCCCATCAAACCGAACCAGCCACGTTTGGGAAGAAGTGAGGTGTAAATCCATCACGTGCGAGGCTACCACGCCTGAATCTGTCGGTCTCGGATTTCGCGCGGCCCCTGGTATCTGAGAAGAACCTCCCCCTGCAGGCGCACTTGAGCTTGATGAGGCTGCTTGCAATTCATCCACCTGATGCCGGAACTGACGCAAGAGGGCTGAAGGAAGGTATTGAATGCCCCCATGGACTGCCCAGCAGCGCCCTTTCCGGATCCTCCAGCAAAGAAACACAAGTTCTGCAACCTGCAATTTGGATAGGTGACACGAAAAGAATAGAATATTCCATGCATTATCCATTTGCAGACCTTCCAACTTGTTGCGTATATCTGCTAGGCCAGCGAGTGTCCATAATGGCCGAGCCACCCTGCAATGTAAGAAGCAGTGGTTAAAGGTCTCTGGGCCATCTGAGCAAACAGGGCAGATTGGAGAGGAAACTAGAGTCTTATGAAGTAGGATTGTTTGAAGGGGGAGAAACCCCCTAACCACCCTCCAAAAGAAAAACTTAAGCTTTGGCGGAAGAGGGAGGTTCCACAGCATCTTCCAAAACCTGCAGTCAAACGGTAAAGCGTCAGGAGGATGCCGAGCATTCAACTCATTTGTGAGAAGATGATACCCGGATTTCACTGTGAACTCGCCGGAGGCAGAATAGTACCAAATAAGTCGGTCATCCGTGGAGTGGAGAGAAAGCGGGATGCTCAATATGGCCTGAACAGACTCTACAGTGAATAGGGACGAGAGGACTTCACGATTCCAAGTTCGAGTTTCACTGCAAATCAGATCTGCCACCCGAGGAGGGCAAGCGAGGACACCCGACAGCAAGGAAGGCGGAGATGGAGGAGTAGTAGGAAGCCAAATATCTTCCAAAACCCGCACTGCCTGTCCCGAGCCGATTTGCCACCTCAAGCCACGTTTGACGAGATCCCGACCTTCCAGAACACCTTGCCATGCCCAAGAGGCCCGGTAACCTGCTTCAGCATCTAAGAAGTGTTGGTGGGGGTGGTACCGCGCCTTGTAGATCTCCCAAACAACTCCCCGGATGGAGAAGAATTCTCCAGGCCTGCTTAGCAAGAAGAGCGATATTAAATCGGTTAAAGTCCCTAAAACCCAGCCCCCCTGCAAACTTGCATTGGCAGGCAGCCGACCAAGACAGCCATCTAATGTCGTTTTCCTTGTCTTGTCCCGCCCACCAGAATTTGGAGAGGAGGCTATTGCATCGCCGGCAGGTTGAAGCTGGGAGTCGGAATGCTGACATGGCATAGACCGGTCCCGCTGCACCAACCGCCTTGATGACCACCTCCTTACCAGCCAAAGAAAGGGACTTTGACTTCCAACTTCGAATCCGGGCTGCCAAGGCTTCTTCGATGAATTAGAATGTCAAGGTTTTGGAACAGTGGACCTTCAAAGGAAGTCCCAGGTACTTATCGCCATCCCCATCTCGCTTACCCCTAGGAAGGATGTAAGTGCCGCAAATTCCTCCGAGGTCACATTCGCACTCACACACATTGATGATTTGTGGAGATTGACCTTTTGCCTGCTTATGGCCTCGTATTCATGGAAAACATGGAGAAGGTTAGCACATTCAGGCAAGGAAGCCCGGAGGAACAAATATGTGTCATCAGCAAAGAGAAGATGGGAAATAACGGGAGCTCGCCTATGAACTCGCAGACCATGAAGGGACAAAACAACTATCTCAGATAGTAGCTTGGCAGATAAAGCCTCAGTGTATAACGCAAAGAGGAGAGGGAAGAGGGGATCACCTTGGCGGATGCCGCGCTGTGGTTGGAAGTACCCGTACTCTACCCCATTCATGAGAACTAAGAACCGAACAGTGGAGATGCAGGACTGGATCCAGCGTATCCAAATGGGAGAGAAGCCCATAGCCGCCAGGACCTGGAGCAAGAACTGCCACTCTACCCGGTCGTAGGCTTTCTCCATGTCGAGCTTAAGCGCCATCCACTTCTCTTTGCCCTGCACTTTTGTTTTTAGGAACTGCATGATTTCTTGTGCAATCAAAATATTGTCAGAGATAAAACGGCCTTTGATAAAACCATTCTGATACGAACTAACAATGTTAGGAAGAAGCAAACTCAATCTAGCAGCCAATATTTTAGAAATTATCTTGTACAAGACCTGACATAGACTGATCGGCCGCATCTACCTTATATGATCGGCATTTGGAACTTTGGGTATGAGAGCGATCCAAGTGTGATTTATGCTGTGAAGGAGCCTCCCAGTGCTGAAAAAGGATAGGACAGCAGCGGATACATCCCTCTCAATTTCCAGCCAGAACCGTTGGTAAAACGCCCCTGTAAAACCGTCTGAGCCTGGGGCCTGAGATTTTCCAATAGCAAAAACCGCTTTCCGAATATCCTCTACTGAGACAGGAGCGGTAAGGGCTGCATTGGCTTCCTCATCGACGAATCGCGGAAATTGAAGACTGCCTACAAAATCTGAAGGATCAGTCCCTGCAGAGGTAAAGAGAACCTTGTAGTACTGAACTGCTATCTCCCCTTTCTCATCTTCAAGTTGATGAAGCACCCCATTCTCATATTTCAAGGACAAAATGAAGTTGAACCGCCGCCGATGGATCAAGGATAAGTGAAAGAACCGATAGTTGGCATCACCTGTTTTGAGCCAGCTATTCCGGGACTTTTGCTTCCAGTAAATCTCCTCCTGCTTGTATGCCTGACCTAACTGAAGTTCCAATCCATTTATGTGTTCCCAATCCACAGCAGCCTCCTCCTTCGCATTTTCAATCTGGCCCTTGAGATCAACAATCTTCCGGCCTGAGTTCGAAGTCCCTTTCTTGGCCCATTCGACTAACCCATGCCGGAGGTTCTTGAGCATCGTTTGGAAACGAAACTGCGTTGTGCCATGTACCTCCTGCTGCCACGCTGATTGCAGTATCCCCCGCACTTACGAGTTGGAGTCCCAGCGCACGTCATAGCGGAATCGACGTCAAGGACGGGACGAGGCTTCAGGAAGGCCACCAACAGGATCCTGTGATCTGACCCTATATCCGAGAGATGTCGCACCTGCAAGTCAGGCCACGTAGAAAGCACTTGAGAGTTAGCTAAACATCGATCAAGCCGCTCAATGATATGACGAGACCCCGACTGACGATTAGACCATGTAAAAGGACTGGTCAAAAGCCGCAAGGTGGAGAGCTCTACCCCCTTGCTTCTCAGTCGATGACAACAAGCAATTAAAGTCACCCAAGACCAAGGTAGGATGCACAAACGGCAAAACATAAGCATTAATTTCATTGAGTTCAGCCTGCCTAGTATGTACATCACAACTGAGGTGCACAAAAACTACTACAAATCGCCCTAGAGACGGATGAAGGCATTCCACAATAAGATATGCATAGGTAGAATGTATTACTGTACAAGAAACAAGGTCTGACCAGCCTACTGCTAGTCCCCCACCCCTATTAACTCCATGTAAAGCACGAACATACGAAAATACCAAGCTACGAATCTGCCCCTCTACGAACTCGTCGTCTCTTCTTGTCTCACTTAGGAAGGTAAGAAAAGGAAGATGACCACGAATGGCTTCCCGCAACGATGGAATCGTCAGGAGGGAGCCCAAACCCCGACAATTCCATGCCATGATGCTCATTTGATGGATTGGGACCGATTCGGGTTGGTTGCCTCCACCCTTGAATTGTTCTCATCATCTGTAGCAGGAGTTTGATGTGTCATTCAAGCCCTTTTGTCTGCTAGTTCTGCCGGTCCCGGGCCTTCTACGCCATTAGTTGGTCCTGCCCCTGTCGCAAGAGGACGATCAGCCTCGTTTATCTCCCCTTCCTCTATGGAGAGTTGCTGCAGCTTGTTGTGGACAACAATGGCCCCTGAACGGCGCGATAAAGGCCCCCCTAGAGAGAAGCCTCTGTCTCGCTCTTGTCTACCTTTCGGACCCAAGTGTATTTCCTCTTGCGATCTAATGTGCGTTCATCAACACGAGACCCCCTGTCAAGGCTAACCGTATGCGATCCATACCGCAATGGTTTGCCGCCAAACTCCTCCCTCTGTGGGCAGCGCACTCCTGTATGCCCAACAACATCACACAAGTAGCAAAACAGGGGCAAACGCTCAAACTTAACAGCTGCAGTGAATTCACCTTTACTGGACTCATCATGAGTCGCGGGAATCTCGTAAGGCAGCGGGACAGAGAGATCGATTCGGACTTTAATGCGCACGTAGAGCCTGCCAGAAACCTCCGATTGATGGATGGTAGCCGGTCCCGCGACACCGAGAGACGCCCCCAGCAATGATCCAAGGCGCTCCGTGCAGCAGGAGTAGGGAATGCCCCAAAGTTGCACCATTAATGGCACTCGTAGAAGGGAATCAGCCAAGGAAGGAGATGGCTCCTCCCAATGAATCAGATGGACCACGTATTTGGGGCGTAACCAAGGGGAATTATTCCGCACCCTTGTGAAGTCTTTGGCTGATGAGAAGGCCACTTGAATCAGGTCCCACTCTAGCGGCACGAAGGAAACCGCAGCCGAGCAATTCCACAACCGCAACAGCTCCGCCTTGAGGGCGTGCAAGGCTGGTCGCGGGCCACAGATCCTCCCGAATAGCGTGAGCTCGCCGCGGGTTGTCCCCACTTGCACATCGGCATCGGAAAAGCGAACCACCGCCATCGCAGCTCGAGTTGGGGGAAATTTGAGAGAGGCTCTTGCGAAAATAGACTGCCCTGAAAATAGAGATTTGATGAAGGATGGGAATAACCGGCGCATCCACAGGATATTTAAAGGCCCCATGACGGAGCGGGCCATTTCCGACGACGCACGATGGCAGTTGCCGATATCGGCGAGGCGCACGAAGCGCAGTAACCGCCCCACTCGCAAGGAGAGAGGGGAGAGCGACAGTCCCTTTTTTTTTGGAGCTAAAAATCAATCGTTTAATTTTGCATTTTTTTATTATATTTTTTCTTTGTTGTTGACTAAGATATATATAATATTTACTTATGGATTTTAGGTATAATATGCACTTATACTATAATTTTAATCAAACATGAACGTCTACTATTTTTTATCGCAAATATACCCCTGTAATTTTAAAAATATTATCAATATGTTATTCTATTTTAATTTTCATTAAAAAAATAGTAATCATGGTCTGCATGACTTGGCCTCGAGAAAATGTCAATTTTTCTCTATTTATTTTACTCATTAAAGTAAAAGTATTAGGGGTATTGAGCTATACAAAATATAAAATATTAAAATAAAATTATTATGGATATTTTAGATATTTGTGACGCCCATATCACGATTTCGCCGTGGTTGACAAGTTTTTATAGAATTTTAACATAAAAGCATGTGTGATACCTTTTCAAGTACAAGAGTATGATTGATGTAAAAAATAGTAGAAAGCCTTTATAAAAATAAATAGTAGAAATCATATTATATATCTACAACTATAACTAATTTATTTATTATTAATTTCTAACTATAATTAGTAGGAAAAACATAAATGGGAGGTGCTATTTGAAAATATTCCAAAGTTCAGGGGCTTAGAAAGCAAGTTTCATAGTTAGGGTTACTTTCCCACTAATGAACAGTGATGAGCGATTTCCACGGGGGAAACCATTTCTTCATCTTCGTTCATCCATTTCCTGATTTCATTCTCTTCCTGGCATTTCCGGCGATCTGCAACAATAATACCGACTTTTCCTTCTCAGGCAGACTATTCGAAACTTTAATCTTCTCTGTGGAATGCGTGTGCGTATCCCCATTAATGGAGGCCGGCGAATTCCTAAACGCAAGAAGCTCGACCGACTAGAATCCGCCCAACCTACACGAAACCCTCCACCACCGATTCCACTGCCACCTCCTGTCTTCACGGATCGCTTCGTTCGCTCACCGCCACAGCCGGAAGGAAATCGACGGTCAAGTCGAGTCCGCGGGCGCCGCCATGGGCGAGCGGCGGAAGCAGGACCTCGAGAGGGAAGCGGCGGAGGAACTGCTGGGCATTGTAGATCCATGGAGTTGGACGCGAGAGAGAAGGAGGTCGCGGAGGCGTTGGATCTGTTCAAGTCGAGGAGGGATTTCGAGGCGGAGAAGGAGTCGATCGAGAGGAAGCTAAGAGAGCTGAGGGAAAGAGAAGAGGAACTCGAGATGCTAGGGAATTACATCGAGGAGAGAAGGGTTCGGGTTAGGGCAAATGAGGTTGAGGTGGAGAAGAAAAAGAAAGCGACCAAGGCGAAGGAGAAGGAAATCAAACGGAAGTCTGATGATTTGAAGCATAGAGAGGAAGAATTTGGGAAGCGATTGGGCAAGTTGATAGTCAGAGAAAAAAGGATTAAGAAACTGGAATCCAGAGTCCATGACTATGAGCAAAGGTTGAGCCGGCTCGAGATGGAAGGAAATAAGGAGCCTCAGGTGACGCTTGAGCTGCAGGGGATGGAATTCGAGATTGTTCAAGGCTTTGGTGATGATTTCAGAGAGAAGGCTAGTGGGCGCAAAGGTAAGAAGCGGTCGAAGGAGACGGAGAAGGAGCAGAAGGATGAGAGCAGTTCCCAACAGAATGAGAAAGGGAAGGAGTGGTTTGATGCTTTCTCTCGAGGTCTGGTTGAGACTGGACAGAAGAAGAGGAATGGTGATGCAGTTGATAGAATACATGAAATGGAATGCAATGATGTTATCGACTTGGAAAAGGGGCATGTGAATTCAGCTGATGATGGTTTGCTGAAGGAAGACAATAGAGCACATGAGGATAAAGAAATGGAATGCAATGATGTTATCGACTTGGATTCGCTAAAGCCAAAGAAGGTAATGGATAGGGTACAGAGCTCGCTCGAGGAGCAGCATAAGAAGCGCTCTGCTGATTCAGTTGCCGAGTTGATTAAGAAAATAAGCGAGCGAAATGAAGATAAATGGGCAGAATGCAATGCTGTGATCAATTCTATTATGACAGAGTTGTCTGCCCAGGAAAAAGCGGCCACAAAGGCAAGTAAGAAGTGTTCAGAGAATCTTGATTCAGCTCAGGATCAAGCAGATATTGTGCCGATTAATGGAGAGGTATCCATTGCTGCAACTGGATCATCCATCCAGGAGAACCTGGGAGAGACGGTTTTGCTCGAAAATCAGATTCAGGAGAGGAATGGGAAGGTTGATTTGCAGAGGGAGCAGTTGCATGTACCTGTGGAGGAGAATGAAGGGTTAACAGAGAAAGAATCCGGAAGTGCACAAGTTGTTTCAAGCTGTGATGCACCAGCGGAGAAGAGTCTTGTTGATTCAGTTGCTGATGGTTTGGTCAAGGAAACCAGTGAAGGCCCCATAGATAAAGGGCCGGAATGCAATGCTGTCAACAAGTCGGCTTCGTTAAATGCTGAGCAACCAAAGAAATGCATTGTTGATTCATTTGCTGAGTTTATAACAAATAGTGAAGAAAACCAAGATATAGATACGGAACGCAGTAGTGCTGTGATCAAGCCTAGTATTGTGACAGAGTGCTCTGCCAATGAAAAAGAACCAGAGCCTATCAAGAGCTCCTCGACAATGCTTCACCTAAAAGAGATGCAATTATATACTGCAAGGGGCAGTGAACTGGGACCAGCGCCTGCAACTAGGTCCTCCTCACCTCAAGCAGCACAGCCTGATCCCCAGGAAGAGATGACTGAGACGAGTTCACTTGAAAATCGGATTGAGGATGGCAACGGGGAGCTCAATCTGCAGAGAGAGCAATTAGATTTGGTTGTGGAGGAGAGTTTAGAAGCTCTGGGATGTGCACAAGAGAGATCTGATCCAACCCCTGATTCTCAGCTTCAGGTGAAAAAGGAAAAGTTGGATGAGTTGAAGAAGGGGCGGACGACGAGAATTTACCAGCTGCAGAGCTTGGTTAATGAGCAACAGGAGTGCTCTGTTGATACGGTAGCTGCTGAGTTGATTAGGGAAACAAGTGGGGGAATTAATGATAAAAGAACGATATGCGGTAGTACTGTGATCAATCCTATTATCGTAACTGAGTGCTCTGCCAAGGGAAAAGAACCGGAGTCGATCTCATCAAAGCTTAATTCACTAGGGAAGCAATTCGATGAGATGTATCTAGACGAAAATCAAGTTCAGGATGGAAATGTGAAGCAGCTTCATTTGCAGAGGGAGAAATTAGATGATGTGGTGGTGGAGAATCCAGGAGGGGTTCAAGAGAAAGAATCTCTGGGATATCCAGACACGAGACTTGTTTCAGGACGTCAGTTACTGAAAAGGTTCGAGCTGAAGAGGAAGCAAGAGCAGTTCACTTCGTTGAGTGATTATACCAAGTTCTGCTTTTCTTCACTCAATAGGATAGAGGAGGACGTGGACTCGGAGAAGTTTCTTTATTGGGCTCGGAGCAAGCCTGGGAAGCGAATGAGGAAAGGCCAGGTCGATCCAGGTGACCTTTTGGCCAGCGCAGGCAAAAACAATGGAGACAAAGGAACTACAGAAAATGTAAAAGAGAAGGAGAAAGAGCCCGATTCATCAATCACACAGTCTTCCTTGGAAAATCCTCATTCATGCAAAAAGCAACAATTGGAGTCGACAACATTGCAATACTCGACCGAAGCACAAAAGCAGAGTGATGGCCATCTCGAACCAGTTGATGAGCTGAACAAGTCTTCAAACAGTGATGGACCTGGAGATAAAGTAATGGAGGAGAAAGAGCCATCATTAAGTGACAAGTGCGCAAGTGCAACCAAGCCTCTTCTGGAAGAGAAGCACTTGGACGCTGGAAAGGATAATGGAGTGCAGCAAACAACTGCTACCGCGCCTGCGAATGCCCCTTTTTCTAAAAGGTACGAATCACAGAAGAAGAGAGACTGGGGGACGTTTTTGTTTTACTACTCGAAGATTCTGAAGCATCCTGCTTCTTCAAGTGTGCCATTATGCACTGGAGCTGATGTGATTGCGTACATGAAGCACATGGATCAGTTTGGGAAGACGAAAGTTCACATTGCGGGTTGCGCCAACTATGGAAGCCAGGAGAAGGGTACGTCGTGCGATTGTCCACTGAAGCAAGCCTGGGGCAGCCAGGATTCGCTGATTGGGCGGCTGAGAGCTGCCTGTGAGGAATGTGGAGTTGATCCCAAGGCCAACCCTTTTGCGTCCAAGGAAGTGCGGTTTTACTTGAAGGGGATGAAGGAGGAACAGGATAAAGCCAGAGGGACTTCTTTCATGAAGAAGAGAAAGAGGAAGAAACCCCAGGTTACCACAGAGGCCCAAAGCTCTGAGCCATCAGCTAATCTTCCTGAAGCTGGCGGTGTTGAAACAGCTAGCCTTCCTGAAGCTGGTGGACCGGCAGCGGCGATGGACAATAGTAAGGCTGTCGATGCTGTTGGTTCTCCGACAGCTTAGCTTCTTTTAGTTAACTTTTTTTGGCAGAATCAGCTGTTAGCCGGTGGTGGGGAGAGCCGTTTTGGGGAAGAATACCTATGTATTGTTAGCTGTTTTGAATGACTGCCTAGGGTGGTTGTGATTTGTGAATAGTACAGGAGAAAACAGGGGGACTATTTTGTGTATTTGCAGAAACTTCATTGTTTTGTGGCCAAATGAAAGATAAGATGTGCATTATGATCTCTCATGACCCCAAAATTACTCATCTAGATGGGTTAAAGCTAAATAGATATGTTCATTCACAAACATATGTTAGCTATAATCTATCACATTTACTTGCACGATAAACATACCACACTCTCTAGCTCTAGCTCTTCTTCGGCCGCTTGTTACTTTGTCCTTGTTGATTCCAACTTCCCAGCTCCAATATGTTGCCAGAAAGTGTTGCACCAGCATGCAGTGGGCTCTGTATAACAAGACCAGTTGCTATCAAGCAACTTCTTTTGCGTCCCACTCCAGTCTCCAGTTCCTGGAGATGGTTGCTGATCTTCTGGTTCAAGAAACTCGGGTCGAGACCAAATCCTGCCACACGCTGTGAGATAACTTTTAAGGAATCGAGATGGTTGTTCAGGGCCTGGCACTGCAGAGAGGAAAGAGTTGACAAAGTTCCGGATTTCGGGTCATTGCAGTCACAATATTATGTTGCAAGGAAGGAAGGGAGAGATGTGTTTTTATTACTTGTGATTCAAGCAAGTCGTTCCCATTCTCAAAGATCCTTGTCTTCTCCAAGTAGTCCAATAGGAAAAGGTTTGGTGGGAATTTTTCAGCTAGCTTGAATGCCAAAGTGAATCTAATGGCCTCCATATGCATGTTCTTCTCGCTCAGTCTCTGGATGAGTCCTGAAAGGGTAAATGTTTTGACAGTGAATGGCTCAAAATTAGGCAAATCTAGAGAGATAAGCACAAGAACGTAGTTTTCATCAAAAACTGAAAAACGTGTATCTGCCAAATGAGCATAAGTGTATCATAGTTCAATTCTTTGAGATGTAACTGAAAAGAGAAGAAACTTATACTTTAGGCAAGAACTAAGAAGGATACTTTAGGCAAGAACTAAGAAGGAAAAAGAGACGCGAGGAGAAACAGTTTAATTTTCGGTGAAAAGCACATCAGGCATATCCATTCTCCATAAGCAGTAACATGAGCAACATAAAATGAATGGTACCATGGTGGTACTGTGAAGAGGAATGAAAGCACGGAGATAATACCAGGTATCCACTTTGCAAGTCCAATGGAACGGCATAACTCAGGAGCTCTTTCATGGTGGGCAATCTCCTCGACCAATTGCAACGTATCCTCTGCTTCAAAATGAGAGCCAACTCCAAATGCAGCCACAAACAAGAGGAATGCCAAAACATCTACTGTACCATGAGCTGCCTGACTTAAATACCCCCTCCAAGCAATAGCCAGTCTTGTTGCTGCTTCTTCCATCTCAGGACTTACCTTTCCCGAGACTCCCAATAACTGCTCCAGCGTAACAATGCATTTCCTTACTACAGTTTGGTTGTACTTCTTGGCATCGATCTGGGACATCGACTCTTTTAACTGGTCCAAGATCATCTTTGCTGGGTCTGGTGACTGCTGAATTGCAGTAGAGATCTCATCATCGATCAAATAAGGCAGCGATGTCTCTTTTAGGGGGGAATCTGGGTTGCTTTCACAGGGAAGGGCTCCTTCAGATGAAAAGTAAACATCAGGAATGGGTGTGAGAACGCTTGAATATGGAGAATATATACTTGCATAGTTGCATATTTGGGAACCCAGATAAACTCAAAGTTCACTTTCACATTACAGAATGATAATGATCTAGGATAAGCATAGCAATGACATCCACAGAGTAAAGCTTACCATCTACAGTTCCAGCTTCCTTTTGGTTTCTCTGCTCATCAATAGACTTCTGCAGAGATCCCAATTCTTCCTCTTTCGCACCAACCTTCTCCCTGAGCAGGTCCAATATACTTAGTAGGGAACCTAATAGATTCTGCTTACTCTCGAGTTCCTGTCCGCATTCTTCCAACCTATGTTGAACAGAACACATTTCCTTCTCCTTAAGCTGAAGCTTCTCAACCACCATACCCAACTGCTTCTCCTTCAATTCGTACTCAGCGTTGCAGACTGTAATGGAGTTCCTTGCCTCAGCTATCTCCCTCTCTTTTGACCGGAGCTCTGAACTAGAAACCGAGAGCAACTTAGTGATTTTCTCCATTTCATTCCGCCTTAAATCAAGCTCATTTGACTGTTCCGCCAGACAATTCCGCAAGTAACCCAGTATCTTCTCTTTGCCCACAAGTTCCTCCCTACGTTCTTCCAGCACCTGTTGCACAGAACCCAGGTCCCTCTCCTTATCCTGAAGCACCCTATCCGCCATGCACAACTGCTTCTCTTTCAGTTCACATTCAACAGTATACTGAGCAATCAAGTTCCTTACCTTAATCAACTGTTTCTCTTTCGCCTGGAGCTCAGAGATAGTGTTGGAAAGCGAAGTCGCCACTGTTTCCATTTCCTTGCGGCTTATCTCGAGCTCTTTCGGCTGTTCCTCAAAAGACTTCCTCAAGGATCTTGGGTTATTATGATCGTGAATTCCGGATTCCGTTTCTTCAATGAATCCTTCTCCCTTCGCTCTCAATTCACCCAAATTCTTCTCCAACTCTCCCTCCCTCGACTTCAAATCGATAGAAATCCGTTCGATTTCCTTCTCCTTCGCCTCGACCGCGAGCTCCTTTTCCCTGACCACAATCCCTCTTTCCTCGATGTAACTCCCCAGCATCTCCAGCTCCTCTTCTTTCTCCTCGAGCTCTCTCAGATTCCTCTCCACCGACTCCTTCTCCGCCTCCATATGTTTCCGCATGTTGGCGATCTCCTTCTTCTGGACCAGCTCGAAAGCTTCCTCTCTCGCGTCCAGTTCTAGGGACCTCCGTTCCACCGCCGTCCGGGCAATCTCCAACTCCTTCTCTTTCAACTCAAGCTCCCTCCGCCGCTCGTCCATGGTGGCAGCGGCAGAGTCGAGGTGAGCCTCGATCTCCTGGTAATGGCGAGCGGAGGAAGCGATCAATGAGGAGTGGCAATGGAGTTGGCGGAGAGTTGCTCGTATGTGCGGCGGGATTAGCTCCGACGAGTAGCACCCGGTTGAGAATTCGCTCGCCGCCATTGCTGGGGGAGCCGCAGTCCAGTGAAGAATATCAAAGTTGTGTCTCCGCCGGAATCGCCATCACTAGCAGCCAGGTCACCTCCCTTGCCTAAATTGCAAACACCAAAGTATGTTTTCTCGGTAAAGGAATGCATGACTGTCACTGAAATAGGCGACATAATATAATACATTTTTTTGACAAAGTTTTTTTTTTTTTTTTTTTTTTACAAAGTCCATAATATAATACATTAAACAAATGAGGAATTATTAGTAGGGTGTTCAAATGGTTACCGTGGTAATAACCAAACCAATTAAGTCTAAATTTTATTAATCATGAATAAAATGTCTTAACCAAATCGTCCAAATTAACATGAAAACCAAATTAACCAAACCAAAATTTAATTAGTTTGGTTAATCGGATTAACCAAATAACATAACATAACATAACATGAAAATAATTATCTTGTTAATGAATTAAACATAACCATATGTTATTACTCTCATAAACTATCATTATATATAAGCAGTGATAATAAGACTAACCATCCATGATTATCATCATCATTCGAGTTAATACATCATTCATCATCTCTGCACCTAATATAGTTATCTTACAACAAATTCTCAACATAAATATTAAATACATACCAACACCACTCATCAGAAAGTTAAACCTCTCATACAAAACACTTAAACTATACATAGTTTGAGGTGGCTGTCATGATATTGTACGTAATCCAAAAGTCTAGTAGTTGTCCAAAATGTTTTGGTTTAGTAAATAGACAGTCTCATTTAATTTTTGACCCATAATGCTTTGGTTTCTTGTGCACATGGAAATAAAATAGGAATCACGAAAGTTTGGTTTGGTTGGTTGCATGGAAGTATAAATAATTTTGTATATTAGGTGTATCATTAATTGGTTAATTGGTTTCATTGGTTAGCAGTGTTGAAACCAAACCAAACCACCTAAACCAAATTAGCTAAATTGTTTAACCAACCAAACCAATTATCTAAATTAACCAAATGCTACCGGTTAATATGGTTACCACGGTAACCAATCCGTTTGACACCCCTAATTATTAGATACAACGGGTTTAGCACCTAGGATTAGGGATGCAAATGAGCCGAGCTGCTCGCGAGCAGTTCGGCGTTCAAAATTCGACTCGTTTACTAATGAGCCGAGTTTGAACTTAGCCTTTTGCAGCTCGCGAGCTAACTAAACTTGGTGACTTGATGAGCTCAACTCGTGAGCCTGACTCGTTTAGAGCTCATGAGATGTCTTAAAACCTAATTACCTTGATTAAAACAATTTCCCCAATTAGCTTGATTAGTTGAGAAAAACCTAATTAAGAAAATGGAATTAAACAATAATTATGGTATTTTACAATTATCAAATATAATATTTAATTACTAAATTAATTAATTTAGTCATCGGTGGCTACCGTCCAAAGCCAGGTTTCGGACGCTGGCGACCTGGCCAACGACCGGTCTGATACAAGAGCTCGGACATGGCAATTTTGTATGAACTCCAACGTCGAACCGCACGTTTTCGTCTGAACTTCAAATCCAGACCGTGCATCTCCGTTCGTCCGATTGCAGGCGTCAGACCACCCATCTTCGTCTGTACTCCGGCGACGACCACCCATCCCCCGTCCGATTGTCGCAGTCGGACCATCCTTTTTTGTCCGATCCGACCAGGTCTTGCTCCCACTGTGATTCCCTGGTCTTAGCCGCTGCAAAAAAAGGAGGAGACGAAGAGTGCAGAAGCGGATGAAGATGGTGGAGTAATCGTCGCGGAAGAAAAAAGAGGAAGGTGATTTGTCAGGGAACTGCAGGAAAAAAAGAGGAAGGAGATGGTGAATCCGATCCGAGATTTGCGTAGAGAAAAATAATAAGTTGAGGCCGGCGGTTCCAGTTTTCAACGATCTAGGTGGCAGCAGCAAAACCATACCATCGGTTCTTATGGCAGCAGCAAGAGGATGGGCAGTTTAGTTAGGTGTCTAAAGTGTTGAAAGGCAAAATAGACCTTTTCAAAATTATGGGCGGCAAATAGTAAATACGTGGGTGACAAATAACTATTCAAAACAATAAAGTGGAAAACTAAGCAAGGGTTAAAAGGTGGATGAGATAAATGGAACACGGTGAAGAAAAGACAACCCAAAACCGCGCACTTTTGATGGCGTAACAACATGAAAGGATTTGAAGTAGTGATGGCAATGGAACGAGGCAGGTACCTCAACACCCATGTCTCGCAACATGCTACTGTGGGTTGGGGCGGGGCATGTCGATCCACTCTTATATGTTATTTGAAACAAATACACGCAAATTTTACATTTTACAATAAAACAGAGGAGGAAATGCTTTATGAATGAAACAAGGTGATAATAAAATGGGTAATTGAGTCTAGCTAGTTTAAAGATCAGGTCTAACTAGTTGAAGAAAGTCAAAATAGGATACATATGAATAGATACTGCAAGAAATTGGAATATAATAAGCAAAGAACAGAGGGGGGCAAGGCGCGTCGAAAGTAGATACCCCATGTCCCGCCCCACACTACAACCGGTCGAATAATACCCGTTCCATCGCAGGTTAGGTTGGGTAATGTCCGACGGGGTGGATTCAAATTGTCATCCATATTTTGAAGCATCACCTTATTACCTATTACGATGTCATTTCCAAGACCTACTGCATTTATAAAAAAAAAAAAAAACCTATCGCATTGATTAGACTCAAATGGTGCATTTATGAATTAGGAGTGCTCTAATGTCTTGTCTAAACCTACAAAACACAACCTCTTTAGTGTCATCTTTGTTCTTCTTAAGAAGAGGCGCAAAGGGGAGGAAAGAACGAGAAATGCCATAGGTATGTTGCTTGCGGCATCTTATTTGATTAGGGAGAAGGTGACAAAAGTAGAGCGATAAGATATAAATAAGAGATAACAAACCCAATTTCATGGTCAGCAAACTAGGAGCTAGCGAGCTTTTTTATTTTCTAACTGATCACTTATATATGTCTCGGTTACAAAGTGGAGAGAACAACATGAGATCTAGGAAAAAGGGAGACAAACTCATTGTCTAGGATGATCAAACAAAGCTTAAAAGAAAGAAAACAAATCATAATCAAACAAGACAACGACTTTAGTAAAATCGCACAACATCCAAAACACTATTCTCAATGTCTTTCGTCGAAGTGGCACAAAACACAACTTCACCAATTCACCTTGTTCAATACAGGCTCGACTATGACAATTGAATAAAACAACAATATATGTTGTAAAAATCGATACTGCGGAATAGAAAGATGACACGAGACAACGATTTACGTGGTTTCCCCACTCGATGTGAGTGGGACTAGTCCACGGAGAGCCTGAAGCTCTCGAGAGAGTTTTTATTATTCTGTATATTCTTCTTCTAGGGTTCGGCCGCCCTTTACAGCACATATATATGCAGCAAACTTAACCTAACTTCATGATAAACGTACATGAGAAAGGCAAATAACAAAGTGACCCCTATATTATTAACAAGTGTCATAGGAGTCACAACACTCCCCCTCAAGCGAAGGAGTGAATGTCAAGAAGTCCAAGCTTGACAAAGAGGTGGTGAAACTGATCGACACCTAACCCCTTGGTGAACAAATCCGCTGGTTGATCGGAAGTGGCTATCTTTGCCGGTGCGATATCCCCTGACTGAACACGTTCCCTGACAAAGTAACAGTCCATCTCGACGTGTTTAATACGTTCGTGAAAAACAGGATTCGCAGCAATATGGAGAGCTGCCTGATTATCACAAAACAAAGGAGTAGGGGCAGAAGAAGGGACCCCCAAGTCACGAAGAAGCCAACGGACCCAGAGAACTTCGCTAACAGTGCTAGCCATTGCCCGGTACTCGGCCTCGGCGGAAGAGCGTGCAACTACGATCTGCTTCTTCGTAGGCCAAGAAATAGGAGAAGTCCCGAGGGTCACAAAATAACCCGTCGTGGAGCGCCGAGTAGTGGGGCAACCACCCCAGTCAGCGTCACAAAAAGCAGTCAAAACAAGTGAGGCATCCTTCGCAAAGAAAAGGCCACAGCCCGGGGAGGACTTTAGATACCTGAGGATGCGAACAGCAGCAGCCTCGTGGGCTTGTGTCGGGGCCTGCATCGCCTGACTAAGGAGATTAACCGCATACACAATATCAGGTCGTGTAACGGTGAGATAAAGCAGGCGACCAACCAATCGTCTATAGGCACCAGGGTCGTTGGCTGGAGGAGACAGCGCACGGCCCAAATGATGTTGCTGTTCAATGGGCGTAGAGCACGGTTTAGCAGCCGCAAGACCAGTATCAGCAAGAATATCGAGGACATATTCCCTCTGGTTAAGCACAAGACCCCGCGGAGAGCGAGCTACCTCAATCCCGAGGAAGAACTTCAGAGGACCCAGATCTTTGATAGTAAACCGATCATGGAGGAAAGCCTTAACCCGAGCAATGAAATCCAGATCAGTGCCAGCTAAAATGACGTCGTCCACATAGATAAGTGCAGTGACGAACGTAGCCCCACGCCGATAAGTGAAGAGAGCATGGTCGGCGCGGCTAGGAGTGAACCCCAGCTCAACCAAGGCCTAGGTAAATTTTTTATACCAATTCCGAGACGCCTGTCGCAGACCATAGAGAGATTTATGAAGGCGGCAAACTTGGCGGTCACCAGGACTAGCAAAACCTTGTGGGATTGCCATATAAACCTCTTCGTCGAGATCGCCATGCAAGAAGGCGTTATTCACGTCCAACTGGTGAATATGCCAGTCGCGAGTCACAGCAACAGCAAGAAGACAACGAACTGTGACGAGTTTAGCAACTGGAGCAAAAGTATCATGGAAATCCACGCCCTCAACCTGCGTGAAACCCTTGGCAACCAAACGCGCCTTGTATCGCTCCACAGACCCAGGTTTAAACTTTATCTTGTAAACCCACTTGCAAGCAATCCGCTTCTTTCTGCGTGGTAAATCGACGAGAGACCAAGTCCCATTGGCCATGAGCGCATTGATCTCGCGCGTCATTGCTTCACGCCAATGAGGAAAGCGAACCGCATCATAGAAAGAGGTCGGTTCATAGGACGCACTAACGGCCGCAACGAAGGCATGATGGGCAGTGGACAACCGGTGATACGAAAGATAATCATCCATAGGATAAGTCACAGTCGCCGAGTGCGCTGTTCCGGGCAGCTGGATGTCAAAACCACGAAGTCTCGTGGAAGCAAAACGAACACGATCACTACGCCGAACAGCGGGAGCAGGAGGCTCGAATGGAGCAGCTGGCACGACTGGAAAAGTGGTGTCTGGGGAGGAATCACCAGCAGAAGGCTCGCCAGGCGAGGTGCCACCAGCCGAAGTCTCACCAGGCGAAGTGGAGGAGACGGGAGGGTCGGCATCAGTGGAGGAGACAGCCGAGTCTCGAGGCGGCGAAGCAACCGGGCCTCGGGGTGGCGAAGCGCTGGCAACGACATGCCCAACATCATCATGCTCAAGCTCACGAACGCCAGGAGAGAAACCCAGCGACGCATCATCGTCAGGTGCAGAAACGGCAGCTGGCGCAACGCCAAATGAAGGCTGCGAGACCAGGGCAGGGGTGAGTGAACCCGGATCAGCAAGGTCACGATAGGGAAAAATGGTCTCGAGAAATTTCACATCCCGAGAGCTGTAGATGGTCCGAGTTTCTAGATCATAAACCCGGTATCCTCGCTGCGCAGACGGATAACCAAGAAATATGCCAACCCGACCACGATCACCAAATTTATTCAGTCCATGATGGTTATCCCTAGCATAAACCAGGCAACCAAAGCTGCGGAGATGCTCATAAGTGGGATCTTTGCCGAACAGGAGCTGAAACGGAGAACGATGCCCAATCGAGACGAGTGGCATTCGATTAATCAGGTAAGCTGCGGTCAGAACACATTCTCCCCAGAACCGCAGAGGCAAATTGGCATGAAACCGAAGGGCACGGGCAGTTTCTAACAGGTGTCTATGCTTGCGCTCGACCACTCCATTTTGTTGTGGAGTGTCAGTGCAAGAAGTTTGTAAGACGATCCCTTCTGCTTCATAATAATTATTCAACGCTGTGGTGGCAAATTCAGGTCCATTATCAGCCTGAATTCGTCTGACCCTCTTGCCAAACTGCGTCTTGACCAAATTGCAGAAGTACAGTAAATGACGTCCGACGTCAGATTTAAACCGAAGTAAAAATACCCAGACAGCTCTACTGAAATCATCCACAATTGTCAAGAAATAATGTGCTCCGGATAACGAAGCTGTCTTATAACTTCCCCAAATGTCAATGTGAATAATCTCAAAACATTCCTTAGTCTTAATAGTACTCTGCTCAAAAGAGTGTCTGGTTTGCTTAGCCCTTAAACAAGAACGACAAGGGACTTTATTGTGAACAAAAGAACAATGAAGAGTCTTCTCCAACGTATGTAACTTCGCTGCAGAGGGGTGCCCAAGCCGCGAATGCCACAGCTCTGACTTATCCACGGAACCACGAACAGAGTGCGCCATTGGATGCCCATGTTCGAACAGCCGTAGATAATATAAACCGTCCACGTGCTTACCCATCCCAATCAGCTTCTTGGAGGGTAAGTCCTGAAAAACACAGAAGTCACCCAAGAAAATGAACGCAACTGGCAGATCAGCAGTAAGACGACTCACAGAGAGCAAGTTGCACTGAAATTCCGGAACATAAAGAACTCGACCCAAAAATAAATCAGCTGATAATTTAGTGGTGCCAATGCTATGTACTCGGACACCCGTACCATTTGGGATTTTAACCTGTAATGTTGGACTCGTATCCAACTCGGAATCCAACAATGAAGCAGAATTAACTATGTGTTCGTTACAACCGGAATCAATAACCCACGAAGAAGAGTTTATCGAAAAAGTACCTGCCATATTTGACGTTGGATCGATCGAGGCCCGCGTTGACTGCAAGATATCACCACTCAAAAGCACTTTAAGTTGCTCGATTTGGCGACTTGACAGCCCTGGAATGTTGCCTTCCGCAGCGTCCACCTGTGCTGCCTGTGGAGAGGAACGAGGCGCTCGATCAGATCGCCGTTTGGGAGGCTCCCCTTTATCGCCATTCCGAGATGGGAACCCAATAAACCGATAACACGTCTCCTTGACATGCCCAACACGATTGCAGTGCGTGCAGCGCAATTTTCCGTCCGTGTCTCGGTCTTTGTCCCGATCCCGCTTAGCTGGAAGCGGCCTCTCAAGCCGCCTCTCTCCCTGCGTTTGGAATGCCGCCGCCTCAGGCCGTGGACGCCTACTGTTTGCTATTTGGCGCTGTTGTTCATCATTAGTCACCAACTGATAAGCCTCTGCAAGCGTAGGGGTCGGCTTCATGGCTAAGATTTGCGATTTGACCGTAGCAAAAGCGTCATCCAAGCCCATTAGGAAGTCGAACAATTGCTCCCCCTCTCTGACATCCCGCTGCCGCCTCTTGACATCACAGGTGCAACCTGCGCATGTGCACTCTAAAGACGGCGTCAGAGATTGAATCTCATCCCAGAAGCCTCTTAACATCGTGAGAAGGGGTTTGGGGTACACTTATAAAATAGTGATGACAATTTGAACCCGTCCCGCGGATATTATCCGACCTGACCCGCCCGTCCTGTGGTAGTATGGGGCGGGCATGGTTATATACTTCGACCTGTCATGCCCCGCTCCGTTTTTGGCCCATTCTACCTCAATTTCTTACAATATCTATATATATTTCTCCTATTTTGACTTTTCTTCACCTAGTTAGAGTCGATATTTCAACTAGTTAGACTCAATTACCTATTCTATTATCACTATTTTTTATTCATAAAGTATTTTCCCCTCGTTAAAAGTTGGTCGAGACGGAGAATCACTATTTTTTATTTATAAAGTATTTTCCCCTCGTTAAAAGTTGGTCGACCCGCTCCGTCTCGTATCCGCACGGATTTTACTTGCCCTACCCGTAGTAGAGCGTGGGGCGGGCAGGTATCAGGCTAGCAGCCCGTCCCACTTCATTAAATAGACGAGTTCATCACAATAATTCCACACATACACACACCATTCTCTCTTCGTACCACTTCTTCTGCCGCTTCTTTCTTTGTCCTCCTTCACTCCCAATTTCCCAGCTGCAACGACCATTTGTTGGCAGAAACTATAGCACCACTCGAAAGAGTGTCCAGTTCCTGGAGCTGGTTGCTGATCTTTTGGTTCAAGAACCTCGGATCAAGCTCTAATCCGGAAACACATGATAATAATATAGCTTTTAAGAAATCAAGATGCCTGTACAGAGCCTGGCACTGCAGAATTTGCGAAGTTTCAGATTCGGTGGATCATTGCATGTACAGAAGGCTATATTTTATTGCGACTCACTCAAGAGAGTCATGCCCGTCCTCAAATATCAATCTCCTCTCCAAGTAGCTCGAGAGGGAACAGGCCTGATGGAAAGCTCTCAGCCAGCTTAAATGCCAAACTGAAACTAATGGCCTCGACATGCATGTTTGACAGTGGAGAACTCAAATTTGGCAAATCTAGAGAGATTCGAAAGCAAAAGAACACAACTTTTGGGAAACACAGAAAATGGGCATCTTCTGGCATTAACTTAGGTACAAGATGGTTCATTTGTTTAAGGAGTAACTGAGGGAGAAGAAGCTAAAAGCCTAAAAGCAAGAACTAACAACGTAAAAGAGACAGGGAGAAAGTTTAGTTTTAGAGAAATGTCTGTCAAAGCACATCAAGCATTCATTCTGAATATACATGAACCTGACCAGTATAGAATGAATGATGCTGCTGTGAATAGAAAGAAAGGCACGATAACAATACCAGGTATCCATTTCGCATGTACAATGGAACGGCATAACTCGGGAGCCCTTTTCGTGGTGAGCAATCATTCATCTCGACCAATTCCCACATATACAGCCGAAAACAAGAAGAAACCCAAGGCATCCACTGAACAATGAGCCTCCACTCTTACATTACCTCTCCAAGCAACAGCCAGTTCTGCTGCTGCTTTCCATCAACTGCTCCAGCATAACAAAGGGTATTTCTTACCAAAGCCTGGATGTTTTCTCTTGGCATCAATCCGTGAAACTGATTTTTTCAATTGGAGCAAGATGATCTTTCCTGATCATCATCAAAGAAAACCAACATAGATAACATCAATAGTCCACGCCTCCACGGACTAACTCTTAATGAAGAAGCATTGCACAACAAATCAAACCCACAACTGCCACACATTCATCTTTCACACTTGAGGAAAGTAAGAACAGCTTGATTAGATGATAGAATCCGCAAAGTTACTAATAACCCAACACAGAGAATTCAAAAGAGAACACCAGAGTGGAAAATTGAAAACAGAAATCATCTCCTTCATCCGAGCTAGAGCACCACCAAACCATCAAACCAAAATATGTATGTGTCAAAATTGGGCAATTCCTCCTAGAAAGAGAAGGATTGAATCACCCACTTGCGCCAGCACAAAATCCTACATATAAAACTCCCCAAAGCCAACCAAATCCGAGTGAACAAACACCAGAGGCAAACACAAAAAGAATGGAAAAACAAAAAGAGAGCAATATTTCTTTCTCCGTCCGCTCAAGAGCTATTGGGACACTCCCTTGCAAGGTGTCCTGGCTTCCCGCAGTTGAAGCAACCACTAGATGAACCAAACCTGCCGCCGCCTCCTCCTCCGCCAACACTCCTTCCGCTAGTGCAATCCCTTGCCAAGTGGCCATAACCTCCACAGTTATAGCAAGCTCCCCCGCCACCGGGACAATCCCTGGCCAAGTGACCGAACCCGCCACAGCTAAAGCAAGATCCACTGGAACCTCCGCCGCCGCCGCCGCCGCCGCGGCCGTTGACGGCAGCCTGCGTACATTCCCGAGCAAAATGCCCTGCGTTCCCGCACTTGAAGCAGCTCCCTCCACCGCTGTTATTCTCGCCGCGATTATTGCACTCCCTAGCGATGTGGTTAGGGTTTCCACAGTTGTAGCAGCCAGCACCCCCGGCACCGGCGCCGAAACCACCACCGTTATTCCTGCGGTTCCAGGGCGCGCCGAATCCGGGTCCGCGCCTGCCGTAACCGTCTCCTCCGCCTCTTTTGCCGGCCTGAACGGGAGCTCCGCCTGGAGCGGTGACGTTGATTGCCTGGCACTTACCGTCAGCGAGAGCTATTTCGAATTCGACGAGATCGTCCTCAGCGAGAGTGCGGTATCCGCCGTCGGACTTAATCGAGCTGTGATGGACAAACAGATCTTCGCCGGCATCATCGGGCTTGATGAAGCCGAATCCCTTCTTGTCACTGAACTTGATGACGCGGCCGGTGGATCTCTCGGTCGATGAAGATCTCACAGCCTGATCCTCCGCCATCGGAAAGCGATTGATTGATTGATATAGTCGGATCGAGAGAGGGAGAGAAAGACCGGGTAGAGAAGAAAGCCCTAGAAGCCGAAGGTTGAGTTAGAACGGGCGTTCATAAGGTGGAATATAGTCTTTTTATATTCTCGTTCTGGGAACCGTGGATTCTAATAAGGAATAGTAATTCCCCTAGGTCTAGTAATTCCTCTACTAATAGTATTTCCCTTACTATAAATTCATCTTTTATTTGTTAGGCACTTAGGCCTAATATCAAAATCATAATTTCCACTTTAAGTTAATTGTATCTCTAAATTTTAGGAATAACAATCAGTCTCTTTAAATTTTTATTTTCGTTAACTTTAATCGTTAATAATTAACAAAAATCAGTCTATTGACCAATGTTATGTCATATAATATAAAAAATCTACATAACTCATAATTTATAAAAATAATTATGATAAGAATAATAATAATAATAACACAACTCATGAGAAAAAAATAAGGATAAGGGAAATGAATGATCGAAAACTCACTCCACTAAGGGAATTATTACGCCCATATCACTCCACTAATTTGTTATCTCACTCACTGGATCTGCGTTATCTCTCTTAGTATCTTAGCGGGCCACCGGATCTGCTCTCTCTCACTTTCCCTCTCGTCAGATCTCTCTCTCTCTCTCTCTCTCTCTCCATCTATTCTCGTCGGCAGGTTCAAAAAAGAAGAGAAATAACAACTCGCTAATGGACGAGGGAACTATGGTTCGAGTATGGTTTCTCGTCAATCTAGCGGCGGGTTCAGGATATGGTAGAGCACTAGGCCATATTTCAAAAAAAGGCAGAGAGGACTGGGTCGTAACCTGACGAGAACATAAACGAATACCTAAAAATCAGAAATTTACAAGGACTATACTAGCTCCGGATCCAGGGGAGGGCTAGGTCGTGGCTCGGGGACGGCCCCCCTAGATCCGCCGCTGTGTCAATCAAGCTTCTCGCTCTCGACAATTGCCCCATCCCACATACAGACGATAGAAGTCAAATCCACCACCTCTAGAGTGTGCTGCAAAGGAAGCCGATCTCAGACCATCCTATCCTCTGGCAAGGACATCCATTCTTGTAGTTGCTGATGGTATTGACGCATCAGCTGAGGAATCACGAACTGCTTGCCCTCAAAGGCAGCTCAATTTCTTGATTTCCAAATCCGCCACAGTAGTGCCACCAGAACCATAATCTGGTCCGGCTAAGTCATCCTAAGCAAGCACTTTTGGAGGAAAATAGGAAAGGTCTGTCGAGGCAACCCATGCCCCAAATGCTCCAATCCCGAATTAGTCCAAAGAGCTACATCGATTGGGCACTCCCAAAAGAGGTGCTCCGTCGTTTTAGATTCTGCCCAATACACCGGACATCGAGGCAAGATCTGGACCCTTTTCTCAATCAAGAACTCAGTAGTAGGCAGGATACGATGGAAAATTTGCCACATGAATAATTTTAGCTTAGGCGGGATCTGAAACTCCCACATATGCATCCAACTCGCCCTATCCATCCAACTTATCATGGGGCGCCACACCCCAACCTGTCTAACCATCAAAACAGCCAGGTGGTAAGCAGACTTGACAGTGAGGCATCCCTCAAGTTCGCTTTGAAGGTGATGCGAAGGTGCTCATTGATAAGATTAATGCCAGGGATGCGCAGGACAGTCGTGTTGGGGTTATTATCCAGGAGATTTTGCATTTGATGGTATTGAGTAGTGGTTTTAGTGTTCGATTCGTGGGTCAGATTAGCAATAGGGTAGCCCATTCAGTGGCTAGGTAGGCCCTTTCTTTGTCTCCAACTGCGTGTCGTTTGTATGATTTTTGTGCCTGAGTTGGGTCCAGGGTGTAGTCCGTGAACTTTTTTCAATCAATATGATTATCTTTTGTTAAAAAAAATGGTATTATGACATTTAAGAGTCACGGGCGATTGGTACTTACTACATTGGGTGTGATACCGTCACATCTCTTTTAAGGGTTGTGAAAATGGCAACCCCATATCATAACCTTACATTCCGTTCTCTTTTTTTTTTCTCTTTCTAAATTAATGGTACAAATTAATTTAGTGACAATTTTTTAATGGAAAACTTAACACATGGGATCCTTTCCATTTTCCATATAAATAATCTTTATTAACAAAAACAAAAAAAAAAATTAGACCTCATTCTCTCCATTCCCTTCGTCTCCCTCCTCTTCCCCACTCACATATCTCTAACACAAAACCCTAATCGCCAAAGAGATCCATCACCGACCTCCATCATCGTCGATCTCAATCACCGCGTAGACCTCCAACACGGTTGTCACCGCCACCTTCCTCGCGATGTCTCCGCTGCCCCAACAGGGCCACACTGCCCCCATCGCCCCTGCTGCTCCCGCCGTCGTCGTCGTCGCCTCTGCCTCCCACCACCTCCCATCTTCACGGCGCTGCCGCGAGGTCACCTCCTCTCCCCTGCCTTCCCGTTTCCTCATCCCCTGATTTTTTTTCCAGATCCGTGATTTTTCAGATTCCATATCTGGTTTTTTTGTGTGTTAGTGGTAAGCTACCAGTGGTAGTAGTACGCTACCACTACTCACTAGTAGCGATACCAGTGGTAGCGTACCACTAGACGAAAATCACTACCACTAGCACACTGACAAAGTGGTACTTTTTTGCAGGTGGCTGGAGTGAGTCTGATTGAAGGATTTCACCGAAAAAAAGTTTGTCGTTCGGAGAAAGTTTGGCGGTGGAAGCAGAGAGGCTGCTGGAAAAAGAAAGATAGATAGAGAGAAATATAAGTGGTAGGGTATAAATTAAAAAAAATGTATTTAATATGAATTTTTCATTCTCAATGTGTAATAAAAAAAATTAATTAATAAATTCATTTTTTTTGTCATACCCAAAATGTCATTTGTTATGAATCTCACAACCCAATTAGGGAAGTGACCCTATCCCACCCCTTCCTACATATTAGAATACCATTAAGCATTTTATTCCCATTTAGAAACATATTTACATCAACTACATTTGTATTTTGTAATATCATATCGTATAGTCGGTTTGTCACAAATAAATAGAAAAACGTATCATTAAGCTACAACTAGTTTATAACGATCTTGTTTTTTTTATCAAACGAGTTTATATTGATTTAATTACAGTTTTACAACAAACCGATTTTGCGATTATTACATTCAATAATTACCCTGGTAGTAAAATAGGCTTCATAAACGGTGGGCCTCTAACCAGTGTGGATGCTAAACCCACTATAGGCCCAATTCATTTTCAACCGCACCACCACCACTACTCTTATCCAGCACACTGAAGAGTTTCCTCTTCCCCGCCATTTCCCTTGCCACTCCCAGGTCTCAACCCTTTTTCGTCTCTTCTCAAGATCGGAGGATGACGAATAACTAGGTTAGACTAATAGATCACTTCATAATGCAACCTCCGACCAACGCAACAGCTTTTGGAAATATGGTTCTCCACCCGTATAGAAGGCGATCCTCCACCAAATCTCGCCCTGCCCTGGTGCCACCAAAAAGCAAACGGTTTGAGTTAGATTTGTCTTCTTCTCATTTGTCTTCTCTCTAAGCCAATTTTTAAACCTTGCTTAGTTTCCTGCTCCATCTATCAACTGGGTAGTGGGTTCCATCCATTTCTGAAGTGAAATGGAGAAGCTGATGGGCGAATTTAAGCTGGCTGAGGCGAAGCAAGGGAGCGTCCTCAGCTTGATCGACGAGGTTCAGGCAAAATCTTCCTCAATCCTTTCGATGACCCTTCATTGGAAAGATCTGGACCTGCAGTACGAATCGATAAGGGAGAGTTTACTCCGACAAGGGCGAGAACTTGCCTTGCAAAGTAAGGAAATGGAGGAAGCCAGGATAAGGGTTGAGTTGCGAGAAATCGAGGTTGAGTTACGAGAAATCGAGGTTGAGGTTAAGCTGGAAGCTGCTCAAGGGTTTGTGGATGAGGTTAGACAGAAGGAATCTGAACTGGGTTTGCTGAAAGATCAGATTTTGGAGTGTGATGCTGAGCTGGGTTTGAAGGAAAGGGAGCTAGGGTTTCAACAGAGGGCACTGAGTGAGATAGGCTGGAAGATTTGTAAAAGAGAATGGGAAATGGATTGCATCCAGAAGTCTATTCAGGAAGAGTTCAAGGAGCTTCAAGCGAAAAGGGAAGAGTTGACTGAGTTAAGGAATTTGATTGTTAAGTGTAATGATGAATATGAATCGAAAGAAAAGCAGTTGGGTATGGCGGATATGGAGCTTCAGTCTAAGGAGAGTTACTTAGGTTCTCTTCAACATAGGGTGAGAGAATCTACCGAGGAATTGGAGGCTAAACAGAGCCTATTGGGTTCACTAGAAAGGACGTCGGTTGAGCTTAAGGAGGAGATTTCTATGAAACAGAGAGAATTGAGTTCATTGCAGAAGGCTGCAATGGAGCAGTTAAAGGAGGCCAAAATCAAGAAAAACAACCTGGATATCGCGCTTACGGTGGAAGAATGTGAAGAGAAGCTTCGGGAGAAGTGGAAACTATTGGGTTTCATGGAGTCATCCCTGGCCGAGCATAGTAAGCATATTTCTTTCAAAGAGAAGGAGTTGAGTTCTCTGGTTAATTCTATCAGAGAAAGGTCCAAGCAGCTTGAGTCCAAACATAAGGAAATGAATGAAGTTTCGAATTTGCTTTTGAATTGTCGTTCTGAGCTTCAAGTAAAAGAGCACGAGTTGGCTAAGGTGAAGGACATGATCGGAGTATGCAATGCTGAACGAGTGTCCAAAGAGAAGCAGTTGACTTTGTTGGTAGGGGAGCTCCAGGGTAAACAGCAACTGTCAGATTGTTTAGGAAAAGCATTGGAAGGGCACCGTGCAGAGATTTCTATTAGAGAGAAAGAGTTGGATTCCTTGGATAAAGAAGTGGAGAAGAGATTGCATTTGATTTCAAATCTTAACTCTGAGCTTCAGGAGAAGAGGAAAGAACTGGATGAAGTGAAGGAGTCCATTGGAATAACTACTGCTGCACATGACTTGAAGGGGTTGGCCGTGTTACAGGAGAAGAAAGAGCTTGATAAGTGGAGATGGAAAGGGGAAACTGGAGTTGCAGAAAATTTTGCTGGTGAGGTCTCTAGTATCTTTTAGATGTTTGTCATTCTTCCTAAAGCGTTAATAAGTTTTGCGGAATAACGGTGATGACCATCCTCTAAATTGATATATATTAATGTCATGCTTACGGGTAAAAGAACTGACAAGTATTTATGGATATGGAAATGTATGAACTGGAAAGAATTAACTGCTTTCGTGTCCCTCGTGGGAATTGTTATTGTTTTGTTTATTTCTCTTGGTTTGCAATGGTGACAATCAGTCTCTATACTCAATTGCTCTGGTGCACATTCACTCAAACTATCGTTATTATACAAATGCAACAAAAAAAACAGATTACTTGCTGTTCAGCAGGCAAATTCACTTTGTCATCTGAAGGATCCATTTTCCTTTCCTGTGAATCCATTCCTCCAGATTCTCTCTGGCAACTACTTTTCGTTTCATTTTTCCTATTTCCCTGCCTTCTTTTCGTTGTTTGATTTGCACATTATCCTTGCAGGTTCAAAGCGGGAAGCTTCTGAAACGCATTCTTCCAGCTCAAAGAAACACAGATCGATTACTGTGGATGGAGTCGCACCGGAAAACCCTTGTAACATATCAAACTGAATCCAAGCTGCACGGCAAAGGGACATGCGGTATATGACTGGATGCCTTTACGAAGAAGCACATTTACCTACTAGATTGTGAACATTTAACTCTGCTTGTGGTGGTGAGGCTTAGAGTGGCGGTGCTGCTAGTATAGTTAAGTTGAGTTATAGGTATAATATAATATGTCGCTCTACTATGTCGTTTTATCAAATATGTCCTACTATTTTTTACATCAAACATGCCCCTGTACTTTGAAAAAAATTATCAAACATGCCCTTCTGTTAAAATTTTCATCCATAAACCGTTAACCACGACCAAACTTTGGTTTGGGCCGCACAAATGTCTAAAATATCCCCAATAATGTCATTTGAGAATTTTTTTGGTTCTTTTGTATAGCCAAATAATCATAATAATTTCACTTTGACAAGACCCAGAGAAATAAAACAAGGGACGAAAATGATATTTTCCCTCCCATTTGCCGATATCAGGTCGTCTAAATCTCGTTCAACCATTATTGACGATTTTTTCAATGAAAATTTTAACAGAAGAGCATGTTTGATAATTTTTCCAAAGTATAAGAGCATGTTTAATGTAAAAAATAGTATACGGGCATGTTTGATAAAACGACATAATAGATGGGCATATTATACCTATAACCCTTAAATTTTCAGGCTATAAGTTAGCACTAATTGTAACTTTCTTTTATTGAGTTGAAGTTAATTTATTATCTTTTGTAAAAAAAAAAAAAAAGAGTTGAAGTTAATTTGTTATGCTGGTAAACTTTGTTCCTTTTGTTTTGTGGTCAGTAATGAGTTCAAATGGTGTTGCTTTAATTTGGACTTTGAAGATTATATGATCTAGTCTATAAATACTTTTAACACAAACAGCTAAATCATAATAGTCAATCTTTAGATTGTAACTAAATATGTCCTGTTTGCGCTTCGCAGTGGGTGGAAGCAGTGGCGTAGTCAGGATTCAAAAGAAGTGGGTGGAAGTAGTGGCGGAGCTCGAATTCAAAAATACATGTGTTATCTTTTCATAATATAAATAAAATTAAAATTAATAATATTCATATAATTCATTCATAGACAATAAAGAAATAATTTATTAATACAATAATTGTTTTCATAAACAATCTTAATGTGTTTTCATATTCTAAAAGAAACGTAAAATACATTCATTGTTTATGCTTTTAAATGAGTTTTTTTTGGTATCCAACTAAAAAATCATTAGCAAACTGGTGGCCAATTCGACTTCGAAACTTCTTCTTAATATGGCTCAAAGTTGAAAATGGTCTTTCTACACTTGTAGTTGCAACAACTAGTGTCAAAATTAGTTTAGTAAGCATATAAACTAATGGATATGACTGATGTACTTTGTCTTCATCATTACTTGATATAATTCGTCATTTCCCTTCAATCCAACAAATCTCTCATAAGCAATAACATCATGATAATACCTAAAAGGGTCGCAAATAATCTATCTTTCTTTTCGTTTTAATTGTTTAATCTCTTTTTTATTGATCAATGTGTGATATCCCGAATCCTTATAACTAATGGAATCGAAATGATCTCTGGATTGATCATAAGATCCCTTCAATTGGCTAGAATTCTTTCCTTGAATGAAACTAGATCTTGTGGAATCATATTGAATATTTGACGATCTATTTCGTCCCTTGTTAAAAACCCGATCTTTCTTTACCAACCACACATTTTCTAACCAAATCCAATCCTCTCTTGGTATGTTCCTCAAAAAATCCGATTCGTGTAGATTATTACCCCAACTAAGGAAGAGATGGGAAATTGAGCACAATTTTGCAAAGAAATAGCCTACTTCTTTCTCGAGAAGAGATGGGAAACATGCTCAATAGTTAAAAAAAAAATCTTGCTGAAAAAAGGGTGTAATGAAATTTTTTATATAGTTAAAATAGAAGAAAGGGATAATCCAGTCAATGTTGTGAGAACTGAACTAGAGTATAAACCGATATAGTGAATGATTCACATTTTATGAGTTTAATCGGTAAAGGTGAATTGGTAATTGGCTAACATGGAAGAAATTAATTATGTTAATACGTGTTGTATTGTGTCCTTGAATTTTTCAATTTAAATTTAAATTTTGTGCTTTTTTATCTTTGTTCTTTTCTCTTTCTAACTTCCTCCAAAATTTTGTCCATCGTGCAATAGTTTGCGCCCCATTCACTTCCCAGTACAAGGCTGCCAATGAAAATCAATATTCAAGTATCTCTTGGCACTATGGTTTTATTGTTGGGGATTTAGGCTGGGTGAGTAGAAGATTTCAACTCCGATATCAATCCATTGCGAATAGAATGGAATTCATCAATAAATGGAGTTGCAGAAGGAGTATTAGAAATTGCATTTTTGGTTGAATCACATGCCTCTGGAGATAAAAATTTGGTTGTACAACGGAGAGTGGTGGCTATTGGATCTTTAGGTTTATGGTTTTTGCAAAAGTCACAATCTATTTCTATCTTAAAACGAGGAATCATTGATTGATTTAATGAAGTAGGTCGATTCTTTATTCAACCTACTGGAACTAATAGATAAAGAGTGTCTAATTTTGCGCCTTATTACTTTGATAAAGTCTATTCGAATATTAGAGGCAAAGCCATCAAAATCGGGATTTTACGTAAAATTAAAAAATGAGGGTAAAATTGGAATCGTAAAATTGAATCATAAAATCGTAGGACTTTAAGGTCCATATAAAAATGAAGAAGGAATAATATTAGTAAGGAAAATCATGAATAACACAAAAGCACATAACACTTACAATGATGATTTCTCAAGGTTAATGTCAAGAGGTGGTGAATCGATGATGATTAATAAGTTTATGTGAATTGATTATAGTCGATTGTGGTTAGTGTGAGAGAACTAGATGATGTTGGTGGAGGAGAAGAAAAAGAGGCGTAATTTTGCAAATTCTGGGGGGAAAAGGTAAAATTGACTCAGAGATTTGAATCGTAAAATCGTAAGATTTTCAGGATTTAAATTGTGAATAGTATATGATTTTAATGTCCATAGATTTATATTGAAATCAGAATAAGAATAGGTAAGTAAATCGTAAAAGCGTAGGATTTTAGGATTTAAATAGAGATTTTGACTACTATGATTGGAGGTAACCCTGATTTTTTTTGTAAAGGGTTCACCGTTTTGAACAAAGGCGATGATAGTTTCCCGCCTTTATCAAAAATGATGATGCAATTCACTGTCTTCCGCAGCGGTGATGCCCAAACTTCTGTATTTTAGAAAATATTTTCATAAGTACTGTATTTTGGGAATTTTTTTTACTAACCAGTGTATTCTGATTTTTTTCCATTTTTCGGGTACCTGCAATTTTTCCATTTTTCGGGTACTGATTCCATTTTACAATCCTTGGTGCACTGGTTTTCATTTTTGGCAGTTCTATAGAAATCTCTGACCTGGTTTGATGTGTTTCTTCTGAAGAATGGAGAAGGTGATGAACGATTTGAAGCTGGCCGAGGCAAAACAAGGGAGTTTTATTAGCTTGATCGACGAGTTCCAGGCGAAATCTTCCTCCATCCTATCGCTCTCTCTACAATGGAAGGATCTAGACATACAGTACGGGTCGATAAGGGAGAGTTTACTCCAACACGCGCGACAACTTGCCATGCAAGCTACGGAAGTGGAGGAAGCTTGGAGAAGCATTGAGGCCCGAGAAATCGAGGTTGAGGTTAAGTTGGAAATGGCTCTAGGGTTTCTCGACGAGGTTGGAGTGAAGGAAGGGGAACTGGGTTTGCTTAAAAAACAGTTTTCCGAGTGTGATTCTGGGCTGGGTTCGAAGAACAGAGAGCTTCAGAGCAGGGAAGAGGACTTGGGTTTGCTGAAAAAACAGATTGAGGACTGTGATTCTAAGCTGGGTTTGAAGAACAGGGAGCTTCAGGGGAAGGAGAGGGATTTAGGGTATATTAAACATAGAGTTGAGGATTGTAAGGCTGAGTTTGAGGGTAAAGAGAGGGAGCTAGGGTTTTTACACAAGGCATTGGATGAGCTTCGCAGAGAGGTTTGTGAGAGAGAAGGACAAAGGGATTCAGCGCAGAAGGCTATAGAGGAAGAGTCCAAGGAGCTTCAAACGAAAAGGGAAGAGTTGGGTGAGATAAGGAGGTTGATTGCTAAGTGTGATACTGAACATGAAGTGAAAGAGAAGCAGTTGGTAGAATGTGGAGAGGAACTTGAGGGTAAGCAGAAGCTGTTGAAGAGAGTGGCGAATTTGCTTTTGAGTTCTTGTACTGAGATCCGGGTTAAAGAGGAAGAGTTGACTGAGTTAAGGAGATCGATTATTGAGTATAATGCTGAATATGAATTGAAAGAAAGTCAGTTACTTGCGGCGGATAAGGCACTTCAGGATAAGGAGAGGGGCATGGGTTGTTTGGAACATAGGCTGGAAGAATGTAGAGAGGAATTTGAGGGTAAAGAGAAGCTATTGGGTGCGGCAGAAAGTAAACTGGCTGGGCTGAGGGAGGAAATTTGTGGTAAAGAGGGAGAATTGTGCTCCTTGCAGAAGTCCTTTGAGGAACAGTCGAAGGAACTTGAATTAAGGCGGAATGAAATAGAGAAAATGACGAAATTGCTATCGATTTGTAGCTCCGAGCTTAAGGCAAAAGAGAGAGAATTATCTGAAGCAAGGAACTCGATCATAGAATTTAATGCTAAGCATAAATCGAAGGAGGAGGAGCTCGATTTGGTGGCTCTGAAGCTTCAGCATAAGGTGGCGGAAATGGGTTCTGTTCAACAGAGGTTGGAAGAATTTACAGCAGAACTGGAGGCCAAACAGAAACTATTGAGTTCCACAGAAAGTACATTGAATGAGCTGAGAGAGGAAGTTTGTAGGAAACAAAGAGACTTAGGTTCATTGTGCAACACTCTTGAGGAACGCTCCAAGGAGCTTGAGTTAAGACAGAATGAAATAAGTAGAGTAGAGGATTTACTTTCAGGTTGTAGGTTTGAGCTTCAGGAAAAAGAGAAAGAGTTGACTGCAGTAAGGCACATGATTACAGAATGCAACACTGGCCATGAATTGAAGCAGAAACAGCTGGCTATTGAGCTTCAGGAAAAAGAGAAAGAGTTGACTGCGGTAAGGCACTTGATCACAGAATGCAACACTGGCCATAAATTGAAGCAGAAACAGCTGGCTATTGTGGCTGAAGAGCTTCAGGTTGATGTATTGGACTTAGATTCTGTTCAACATAGGGTGAAAGCATCTACAGGCGAACTGGAGGCAAAACAGAAGCTATTTAGTTCACTAGAAAGGGCATTGGAGCAGCTTAGGGAGAAGGTTTCTGAGAAGGAGGAAGAATTCGGTTCATTGCAAAAGTATGTAGAGGAGCAGTCGAAGGAGCTTGATTGTAGGCAGAAGGAAGTAGAAAGAACTATGGATTTGCTTTCAAGTTGCAATTCTGAGCTCCAGAGAAAAGAGAGAGAGTTGGGCGAGATAAGGAACATGGTAATGAAATGGAACGCTGAACATGATTTGAAGGAGAAGCAGCTGACTATGGAGGAAGGGGAGTTTCAAATCAAGGAGAGGGACTTGGATTCTGGGCTCGAGGTGCAAGAATGTGGAGGGCAGCTTCAGTCTAATCAGGAGCTACTGGGTTACTTGGAAACAGCCCTGGCAGAGCATTGCAAGCTGATTTCTTTCAAAGAGAAGGACTTGAGTTCGCTGCTGAAGTCAATTGAACTGAAAGAGGCTGCACTAAGTACTATCGAGTCTTCAATAAAAAGTCGAGACAAAGTACTTAAAGTGAAAGATAAATTGCAGAAGTTACTTCAATCCAAGATAGACGGACGCAGCAAAGAGCTGGAATCACTGAAAGAGCAGGAAATTTCTATTCAAGCATTGGTTGAAGACTTTACCCTTGCTCTTGAGTCAAATAGTAAGAGCGTTGAAATGGCTGGGGAACAGATGAATTCATGTTGCAGTAAGCTTGAGTTGAAGCTGGCCGAGCTCTATACTATAATGACAAAATTGTTTGAATGCCGAAACAAGCTTGCAGACAGAAGAAAGCATGTGGAAAAACAGGCTGACGCAGTTGAAATGCAAAGGATGGAGCTTCAGAAAAAAGCTGAGTTGTTTAGATTGAGAGAAGAACAATTGGGTTCAAAAGAAAAACTGATTGATGAAAGATTTACAGAACTAGAAGCGAAAGAGAAGGAACTAAGCAGCTTGTTAGAAGAGCAGAGAATCCGAAAGCAAGCTGGAACTGTGGAAAATATATACGGTACGCTCTACTCTTTAGATGTTTCCTTGGCCTTCTTATCTTAGATGATCATCAGTCTTCGTGGTGTGTATTCTTGTGTCAAAGTTATAGGTGGATTTAAATTGGTGTTTGACAGTGATATGACTTTCAATAAAAGTGAAACATCCATGTTTTTTTTTTCCTTCAGGAATTGTGTTCTGATCGTTCTTATGTTTCCTTTTGTTCAAGTATTCCTCAAGTGGTCTGAGACACATCGCTGCTGTTTACTTTAGGGGTCATGTCCTGTGAAAGCAATCCTCCAGATCCCGCCCTAGAAGAGCCATCGCCACCTGATTTGACTGACGATGAGGTCTCTACTGCACTTGAGTCATCAGACCCAGCAAAGATGATATTTGACCAATTAAAACAGTCAATTTCCCAGATTGGTGCTAAGAGGTATGACCAAACTGTGGTCAGGAATCGAGTTGTTATGCTGGAAAGGTTGATGGGAGTCCCTGCAAATGTAAGTCCTGAGGTGAAAGAAGCATCCATTGAACTGGCTGTTGCTTGGAGAGGGAATTTAAGACTGGAGGCTCATTGTTCAATGGATATCATAGCTTTCTTCTTGTTTTTGGCTGTATTTGGAGTTGGCTCTCATTTTAAAGCGGAGGATATGTTGGAACTGGCTTGCGTGATTGCTCACCATGAAAGGGCTCCTGAGTTATGCCGTACCCTTGGACTTGCAAAATGGATACCTGGTATGTTTTCATTTTTCACTTCACTTGGCATTATCAAACGCATTGTGCTTTTGCTTTCCACCTCTGTGAACGTTCCTAATTTTGGTTCCTTACCGTCATCTTTATTTTTCCTTCAGGACTTATCCAGAGCCTAAGTAAGAAGCACATGCATATGGAGGCCATTAGATTCAGTTTGGCATTCAAGCAAGTTCGCAGCTTCCCACCAAATCTACTCCTCTCGAAACACTTGGAGAAAACAAGAATCTTTGAGGACGGAAAGAACTTACTTGAATCCCAAGTAACTAAACATATCTTTTCCTTTCCTCTTTTCTTTTCCTTGTGTAATATAATCCTTCTTCCTTTCAACGACCCAAATTTCTGAAACTTGATAATTCCTTCCTTCTGCAGTACGAGGCCCTGAACAAGCATCTTGAATCCTTGAAAGCTATGTCACAACGTGTGGCTGGATTAGGGCTTGATCCTAGTGTCTTGAACCAGAAGATCAGTGACCATCTCCATGTTCTGGAGACTCTATTGGGGCATACAAGAAGTTGCTTGCTTGCCACGGGTGTTGTTATAAAGAGCCAAAGGTATGGTGTTGCTACAATTTCTGGCAACAAATCGCCATTGCAGCTTGGGAGTTTGACCGAAGGACAGAAGATCAAGCGGCAGAAGAACTAGGGAGTGTATGATGTGTGTGTGTGTGTGTATATACGTAGCTAGCTTTGCTATACCTAGTTAGGAGGTATGAGATGTGGAGATCAGTTATCTAGTCTATCTTGTTAACTTTGTGGAAGAATACGAGACTTCGGGTATCCACTGATAACGGATTTGTCATCTCAACTAATATGTTACTGCTTGGTGTCAAAACAGAACCCAATTGGAGTAAGTTGTTTGTTCAACTTGACTCGTAACCTGACTGTAACCCAAATTGACTAATTAAACAAATTATTCGAAATCCACCTGATTGGTTGCAACTTGCATTATGTAACTCAATAATGTGTAACCCAAATAACACGCCACTAAGGGCTCGTTTGGAGAATTGGAGTCTAAATCTCTAGATTCTAAACAATCCAAAGATTTTAACTCTCTGGATTATTGAAAAAAGATTTGAATATGTTCATTGTTTGGTAACTATGATTGTTAACATCCAATGAAAAAAGAAATTCTATTTTTTTTATCACATAACATGTTTATCCTTAACCAAAATAATTAGATTGGCTCGAAAAATATTGAGAATTTATTGGTAAGGGTATTTAGTGGGATAATGAAAAAAAAAACAAGAGATAAAATAGGAGGGAGAAAATCTCCAAAATCAAGATGTAGAATCTCTCTAATTATGAGAGATTTGATATCCTTAGATTTTATAGATTTACAATCTCTGAAGTTACAATCCACGATACAAAATGTAGCAAAAAAACATAACATTTTGCTAAATCTATGGATTCAATAAATCCACGATCCAAATCTTGTTCACCAAACGACCCCTAAGTAAATTCAAATTGATTGGCCCGAATAAGCAATGGAAATAAGATCATATGTTATTTCATGTAATAGTTCACGTTACTATAAATTGATTAATGTACAATTCTCTAATACTCTTTAGTATCTTTGCAACATATTTCACCACCCATCAAATTATTGCCACTCTAAACATTAATTTAAGGGATCATTTTGATTGATCAATAGTGGTTTTTTTTGTTGTGGGATAAGAATCCGATGATGTCGACTATGTGTAGTGGAGCGCGAAGGCAACGAGGAGCAACAATGCAAAGCATGAGAGTACTGCCAAGACAAGGGAAGTGGTCGTGACGAGGACTTTGTGGAGGTGTATGATAGTGAAAGTGGTAAAAGAGGAAGGAGGAAGGAGGAAGAAGGAATGCTCATGTACCCCAACACTCTTTTTTTTTAGGAAGGAAAATAAGGGGAAGGAAAGATAACATAGAAAGTTGGGGTAAAGGAGGGGAAAAGTGACTATGTAACCCGCCCTCCGATTCGGAAAGAAAACAAAAAGTGTGACTTTGATTACTTTTTTAATTCACATAGGGGTCGTTTGGAAGTTGCGATTGTTTTGTTGAGATTGTCATTATGCATGTATTGTTTACAATGCATCGTTTTTTCGTTTTTTTAAGCAGAAACAATACATACATGGATTGTTTCTATGATGTGACAGAAACTATCACTCATTTTGAGTGATTGTTATATCTCAACTTTTAGTTGTGATTGTTGAGATAGTTGAGTTGAGATTGTTTTATCTCAGCTTTTAGCTGATGCGACATACACAATCACACATACCAAACATTGTATTCTACAATGCATCAAATTCGACAATACATGTATAATATTATACATGCATTCTCAACAATACATCTATTTAACAATCGCAACTTCCAAACGACCCCATAATCTCTCTTATCTCTCTTTTCTTCTTTGTTCTTCTTTTCGTCCTTGTGCATAGTCAAAATCCAAAAAAGCAAACAAAGAAACTGAAAGAAGAACCTTTTTCCATAAAACTAGCAAGTAAGAATAAACTCACAAAATCTTAACCGAGAAGATCGAGCCTCTCATCGTTGGGTTTCTCCTTTGCTGCCGATGAGATAGAGAACATCAACGACCCTCGTACTTCTATCCACATTTGATCAAGATAATAACCATAACAACAAAACGAGACATAAAAGTGATTACAATCCCTAAACCAAACCGAAAGTAAAAAAAAACATGCATGTTTCAAATTACGAATTAGATATATTTGATCACGTAATCAAAGTCTTAAATAAAAATATATTGTAAAATATATAATCTAATAAAGTTGTTTATAATTTAAATGCCATCTCATAACTTACGCATCAATCCGTTAATAAGTAGATACTCACGCTGGCTCACTAGTCACTAGTCACAAAGTTGGCTTAGGATAGGGTCAGTAACCAATGGTTACTAACCGGCCGCTCTCCTTCTCCGTCGCAATTTACCGCTTCCACAACCATTCCACCTCTTTCCTTATCTCTTCTAAATCATCTTCTCCGCCTTATGTCTCCTCCCCTGCCAAGAGGCCTCTCGTTCTTCGCATACCCTGCCGCGTCCTCGCCGGATCTTATCTTCTTCGGGACGTCGGAGCCACCGCGGGGGTACTCGCCGGCGCCTACGGTCTCGTACTCACTTTCGATACTCTCACCCGCCGACAGATTATCCAGCAGATCTACCGCCGGATCCTACGGGATTACCCAGCTCATCGAGAGGCTTGCGAATCCATTGACGGAGGAGGAATCGCTCTCTGGTACCACCGGCCGCGGCTGGCCTTCCTCGGATTATTTCATCAAAGTTTGGCTTCCATGGTGATTGGTTGGATTACCCTTACGGCAAAATGAGATTCTTATGTGCCTCTTTCATACTCCCCCCCCCCCCCCCCCCCAAACATCCCTTGCCTGAGAAATCTTACAGATTCAGGAATGGGAAGAAATCCAGACATCTTTAAAGTTGGTGCTTTTCAAAACAGGAAACTTCGATCATGATCGCCGATGGCTCACCGGAGTCCGTTTTCTGTCGCTGGTGTTCGCCAAGTCCTGCAGAACACAATTAATACAGTAGTTATTGAGATTAAAACCACTTGTCCTCAAGTTGGTTACAAGGCTTTACGGCCAGAAACGGTAATCGCCGGAAAAGCCTTAATTGGGCTAATAAATCGTCTCCTTAATAACGAGATAGAGCGCTTTAAGCCTCTAATAAACAGAGCCTTTCAAGGCTGCTGCGTTCGCTAGCATAATGGGCGTAATCAAAGGGTTATCATAATGAGCCTTTCACTGATCAACCCATTATTTTTAGAATAATTAGCCCATCAATTATTGGGCTAGTGTAATAAAACAAATCAAGTGTCTATTTTATCGCTGGGATTTGACACATGGAGTAATTGGGTGATTAATTAAGGGATTTAGTTACATTTCCTTCTTTGTCCCTTTTTCATATTAATTGGGACCAATGGATAGTTATGAAATTAATTGGTACCTTATTAATTGTGCTCAGATTCTTCATATGGCAATGCCTCAAAGTCATACTTTCCACAGTAGTGGCCCTTCAAACTCGTGGAGTAAACTGTCTTAATCGATGACCTGTCTGCTGGAGACATCGAGAAAGCATTGAAGATTTATTATTCAGATGCCCCCTAGCCATCGGATTGTGGACTTTAGTGGGATTGAGCAACTTTATTGAGACCACCCAGACTGTTAACTTTAGTCTATGGTGGCGACATGTCATGGTCTCCGAGACATTCTCCAATGCGTCCGTTTACTTTGGAGAATCTGGAAGTCTAGAAATAAAGTGACCTTTGAATTTATCCAACCTCATGTCTGTACCCTAGCCAGACAGTTTTACAACCAGGTCCTCGATTCTCCAGTCTTATTCTCCCCCTCCTCTCCGCAGCTCTGTACTCCCAAACCTTCCTGCCACCATTTGAGTCCCTCCACCAGAAGGCTTTTTGAAGATCAACGTCGACGCAGCTGTTTGTGCCTCCGTGTGTTCGTCTGGGCTTGTTATCCGTGGGTCAGACGGGCATGTGATGTTGGCGTTTGGGTTGCAGCATCAAGGAATAGTCAACTCTTATCTGGCAGAGCTTCTAGCTTTCAGGGATGCTATCTCCTTTGTAGCCTCAAAATCCTTGACCCGCATGATAAGCAAGGTGATTCCGAAGTGGTCGTCAACCAAGCCCGTCAAGGCGTCTTAGAAGACTCGATTGGTGGTCCGGTGTTACGAGAGTGTCTTCAGATCCTTAGCTCTTTGTCTGTTTGTATAGAGTTTAGGGTGGTACCTAGATCCGCCATCAGTGCTGCCCATAGAGTGGCGCGTAAAGCACTGCTTTTGTCTCGTGTAGAGCTAGAATCTTTTGATTTTTTGGGGTGGCTTCTTTAGAGTCTTTTAGGGGGTCCTGGGTAGAATTGTAAGCTTAACTATTATTTTCCATTGATATCACTCAGAAATAAAAAATAAAAAAACCAATGGTTACTAACCTATAAGTATAGGTGTCAATCGGGCGGGTTCGGGCTGGGTTCAATCGGGTTCGGGTTCAAACGGGTTGCGGGTTAGTCGGGTTGCGGGTTCATCGGGTTGGGGTTCAAACGGGTTGCGGGTTATTCGGGTTGCGGGTTCATCGGGTTCGGGTTCAATCGGGTTGCGGACAAATTGGGTTGCGGGTTCATCGGGTTTTGGGTCGGGCGGGTTGCGGGCGGATCGGGTTTCGGGTTGTTCGGGCCAGCGCATCGAGTAACTTACTCATTACTCGTTACCAACTTACACATTTTATTACACTAATTTAAAATATTTTTCTCAACTTTTTAACCAATTTATTCTACGTCGTATATATATACTTAATTTTAATAAAAAAAAACTAGTCAAAATGTTAAATCAATTTGTATGACTTGCAAACTTGTTATGTAATTAATCATAATTGGTAAAGTACACTAGCTAATAGTAATGGTGATATCAATATTTGCAACCAAAAGACACCATTAATTGTTTATTTGATATTTTAGTATTATTTTAGTAGTAATTGGATTAAAGTATCTTGTTTAGTATAACCATGCAAATATGGTATTTGGTTTGTGGTATTTAGCAAAAGCATAGTGATAAAAGGAGTTATTTCGAAATAACTCATTGCCCAAATAACTTCAGTAAACTATTGCCAAACGAGTTATTTGTAAAATTGTTTGAATTGTCCTAAAGATTAACTATCAAATTTAGTAAAATTATTGTGACTTCAATCATAACTTGCTGAATAACATATATCCTATACAGTTAGCCTTATCCTCAATCGATAATATTAAATTAGTATATCTCACATAATTTGTAAGGAATATAACATATATGATATTAACTAACTACTTAAATATTTGCAATATACAAACCACACAATTACTATATTAAAATTGTGCATATAAAATACAAACGTGCATAACCTATATGCCGAGAGCAGAAGAAAGGAAGCAGGGATTCGACTGTCTTCAGTCCTTTCTAACCTAGAGGCGACGAAGACGGCAAGGGAGCGGAGGGGACAGAACCACTGGAGACAGTCTGGTGGCGGAGATAGGGATTTCCCTTCTCACTTGATTAAAATATTGGGGGAGGTGGGAGGGAATTTTCAATTTTGGGATGGGAGGGAATTTCAATTTTGGATCAAATATTGGGGGAGGTGGGAGGGAATTTTCAATTTTGGGATGGGAGGGAATTTCAATTTTGGATCAAATATTGGGGGAGGTGGGAGGGAATTTTCAATTTTGGGATGGGAGGGAATTTCAATTTTGGATCAAATATTGGGAGAGGTGGGAAGGAATTTTCAATTTTGGATCAAATATTGGGGGAGGTGGGTTTATGGGAGGGATTTTAAAAAAAAAATGGGTTTGCACGGGAATTTTTTAGCAAATATTTGGGGGTTTTGAATTTTGCATTAATTATTTTTCATAAACATCTAGTTCTTCCTTTCTTTGATATTTAGTATTATAGATGGTATATTTTATACCGATCAACTAGTTTGTTGTTCGATACGTTGGTCGGAATGTCATTTGAATAGGATATATTTAAGATGTACATTCACAAGTTAAACTAATTGCTAAAATCAAATTAATTAATAAACTATAAAAATCAAAATATCCAACATAAAGCATAACCATGAATAAACCCTAAACCCTAACCCTAAACTATGACCCTATACCCTATACTATAGTTATATGTTATGAAATTGTTAGTATAAGCTATAATGTATGTTATGTGAAGAATGTAAATTGAGTCAATTTTATATTCAGTTATTGAGAAGAACATACGTCCTATGACTCCAAACTCTAAACCACGAGTCCACTACCGTATACCCTATACACTAACCTTAAACCATGAACTATAGTTATGTGTTATGAAATTGTTGGTATAAAGTATAAACTATAACGTATGATATGTGAAGAATGTTAGTTAAGTCAATTTTGTATTCAGTTATTGAGAAGAACATACGTCCTAATCCTCTGAACTCTAAACCACGAGTCCACTACCGTATACCTTATACATCATAGTTAGTAAATATTCCGTTTAATAACAAGTTTAATATCCGTATTTAATGAAATGAATTATTAACTTTGCTATTTTTGACATATTGATTTATTTATAAAAGTAATTAGTTTTATATATTTATAACTATTAACGTACTATTAACTAAGAGACAAATTATAATACTCGTAAGTATTTTATTCTTAACTTTCCCGTACCGTACTTTACTAACTATGCTATACATTAAGTGAATTTTATGTATACGTTGACATAAAATAAATTTTAAGGATGGTCTTACTAAGTTGTGAACCATTAATTACAATCTAACTTTATATTTTAAAATTCAGTTAACAAAAACATGTTAAAAAATATACCTCCGTTTAATAACACGTTTAATATCCGTATTTAATGAAATGAATTATTAACTTTACTATTTTTTACATATTGATTTATTTATAAAAGTAATTAGTTTTATATATTTATAACTATTAACGTACTATTAACTAAGAGACAAATTATAATACTTGTAAGTATTTTATATGTATCTTTCCCGTACCGTATTTTACTAACCAATATACTTTATACCCTGAACAACGAACCGTCAAAAATTACTTATCAAGTTTAGTATAATTGTTGTAACTAATATATATATATATATTAGCCTTAAAAGCATATAAGAATAAATTTAACTAATCATGCCCTCCATATAAAAATTAAAGATTCATATTTCAAAGGCTAAAATTTTGAAAAACCAAAAAGTTAAAAACACCAAATTTGTTTCATTCTTTATTTTCACAAAAAAAAATATAAACTAAAATTTCGCTCCTTCTTTCTCCTTCGATAAATTAGAAACACTCACTTTCCCTTCTCTTTCTCTTTCTCTTCCATAAAATTGAAAGAACCAAATTTCCCTCTTCCTTCCTTCCACAAAAAGTTGAAAACTCAAAATTTCCCTCCTTATTTCTCTTTCATAATCAAAAGAACCAAACTTTCCCACTTCTTTCTATTCCCACAAATCAAAACCACCAAAATTTCCTTTGTCTTTTTTTTTTAAATTCAAAGAACCAAATTTCCCTCTTCTTTCTCTTCCCAAAAAGTTGAATACACCAAAATTTTCCTCTTCTTTTAAAAGCATCAAATTACCAAATACATTACTTTATTTTATTTATATTTAATTGATAATTTTATTGAATAGTTGAATTAACCATAATTTTAATTTATATATTATATTAATATTGTCCATGATCTCAATTATTAATTCTTCATTATTAATGTTGACATTATGTTGATTTTATATTTACTTTTTTAATTTTGAGTAAGAACTTAGTGTTCAAGTGACCTTCATGTTTCAATTTTTGTAATTTTCTTAAAATACATAATATCAAGTGAGTTTCATATTTTTTAAATTCCCTATACGAAATGAAAAAATAATTTTACCTAAGTTTAGAATGAAAAACTTTATTTTGAAAAACTATGTATTGTATATTATAATAATTATTTAAGTGGACTAAGTGAGGTTCGGGTTGAGTCGGTCGGGTTACGGGTCAATCGGGTTTGGGTTAATCAGGTTGTGGGTCAGTCGGGTTGCGGGTCAATCGGGTTGTGGGTCGGGCGGGTTACGGGTTGTTGACTTTTAGTCAATTCGGATTGCGGTCGGGTTGCGGGACGGGTTAATCGGGCGGGTTAATCGGGTCGGGCTATGTTTTGACACCTATACCTATAAGTAACTAAATCTTGACCTTTAGATCTAAGTGGGCCCAGAAAATTCAGATATAAAGGTTGTCAATTAAATACATTTTATTTTCCCTAGTTTTCATAATTGGCTCTTATCTTCTTCGTTCTAACTTGGATTTCGATTTTTTTTGCACACATGGAACGAGTTTGTTGTGCTCTACAAAATGAAATCAATTTTCAATATATTTCGAGAAACTCTTTTTTTACCAACTACATACCATATGGTAACTTCTTCGTTTTTAAGTCTTTTTGAAAATGTTTGCTCAGAAGGAACGAGTTCATCATGATCTATTAGATCTACAAATTTCTGGGTGAATAAAATACTGAACAAAAAATTACCATACTTTACCACTATGGTATGTGGGTGGTAACTTGTGGTAAACAATGATGAAAGTCGTAAATGACAGTCAGTATACTCATATTATCATGTATTCAACCTTCTTACAATATTGGTATGTTCATACCATCATAGTACGCTTTCTTACCATATGGTATTAAATATGAGCATACCATATGGTAATAACTTATAAAAAATTATTCAATTTTGTTGTACTAAAAATATATCAAAGTGGATATCATTTTAAAGAGCACATTTAATCTGATTTATTTGTGCAAAAAAATTTAAATTTTGAATTAAAACGAGAGAGAAATCGTCCGCTAAAGATTAAAGGGGAAAAATAAAAAAAATTTCAGGAGAGAGAGATATTGATGTCATGCTGATGTGGACGGGTTACTCATGGTTACTGACCTGATTTGTTCCCACAAAGTTAAGCTTGATGGAATCAAAGTAAAAGGTTTTATTTAGAATAGACAATCTCACTATGATGATCACTCTCATGGGTGGGCTTTGGAGAGTTGGTTATTATTATTATTATTATTATTATTATTATTATTATTATTATTTGGAGAGTTGTAATCAAAATTCTCATGCCTAGCCTCCTAAACTCCCGCTATAATTAGTGAAGATATTCACATATAACTCCCTTCCTCCTGCTTCTTTTTTATATTATATTCCTCTTTACTAGAACCACTCACTAACTTGAGTGTTAGAGAGTGTCCCCACCTAGATCGATCGACATACCTTTTTTTTGCAGGAGACGATTGGAGCTGACACCACGAAAATAGTTCGAGCTGAAAGGTGGCCGTCGACGGATCCCAATGTCCAGCATAAAAATTCGACGTCGCCTATAACCTGTCATCAATAAAGCTAGTTCATAAGTTGAAAACGAACGAACTCACAAGTTAAGTTCAACAAATTACTGGATCAAACTGGCTCACGAATCTCATAAGTTGAACAAGATTTAGATAAGATTCGACTCATTAGTAATCGAGTCAAGTTTCGAACGATTTTTTCATGAATTGAACTGCCAACCAATGCTAATCAATTTGTCGGGGAAAAGAAGAATTGTCTATCTTCACCTACACATTGTCTCTCCCACCATACTAGAAACAATGGCTGTCAAGTCGATGGCAAGCTTGTCGTACAACTAAGTTCAATTGGTTCCAATTACAAATGTTGACTGTAATCAGTGGCAGACCAAGGATTGTTGAAGAGTGGTGTCGCTTAATGAACGAGTATCAGCTATAATTATTAAGGCGGTGTCGAAAATCTCGTATTAAATTTTTTTGTACAAAAAATATATAGGTTCTTCACAAAATTTTCGGACAAAGGGGTGTCAGACGACACCCCTTAGCAACACATAGGTCTGCCCCTGACTGGAACGTCCTGGTATGATCGTGATAATCGTGTTTCACATCGGAACAAAATGACGTTGTTTTTGTGATTTTAATTAATAAAAAATAGTTTTTGATTTCTTTCTCAAATTTGAATGTTAAATATTGACATTATTTGTTGAATTCAAATATAAATGTCAATGTTGTATTAAAATATAAGAATTTTTATTTTGTTTGAAATGTTGTATTTTATTTAAATATATATGTAAATTTTAGAGAGATTGTCTTCACATATGCTTCATTTAGCATTAATGATTTTCTACTTTTTACATGTTTTGCCATAATAACTAATATAAACGTATAAACCAATTGTAGCCAAACTCATTTCACATCCTTGCCAGAAAGTTTTTTTTTTTACAAAGGAATTACTTATATTGCACTTTGAATGATCGATTACAAGAGAACCAGTAAAGCAAACCAAAATCAGAACAAAGACAGACAAACTCAAACACCTGGATGCTCAATCTCTACTTCAGAGATACAACAAGAAGAGCACAAAACCCAGAAGGAGCCACACAACAAAGGATATGAGACACTTGAACTAAAAGCAGTAAAAACTGAAACCTCTCTTTCAATCAAATCAAACAAAGTAGCATCAAGCACAATCAGCTCGTCCAATCTGAACGAGTCCATGATGATTGAACACAATGCCATTAGCCGCCTCCTGAGAGTCGCTCGAAGACGCTCAACACAGTGAATCACGGGTGAGAGATAACAAACAGTAGAAAGAGCCAGGGAAAAGAGAAATGCTTTTCCTTTTCCTTTTCTCCTTGCCTCTCGCCTTGTCAGCGGAGCACGTGTAGTGCTTTGATGAATAGAAACGTCGGAGTTTCAATGTCAGAACAAGGTGATGGCGGCGGCGATTCGCCGACAATGCAGCCTCTCCTTGGGGATATGATCGACGAGGTGCGCAACATTTTTCCTCTTTCGAGCACAGCTCGACTCCACCGCCGCCGCCCTCCAAGCGCGCTCTGTGGCGCTGCGGCTAGCGAAAAAGAAGGTGGAGGAAGGGATCGAGGAAGTCGAGTGGAAGAAGAAGGATCTGGAGAAGGAGGTCGAGTCGGTGAATCGGAAGTCGGCGGAAGTCGACGCGAGGGAGGCGGCGTTCGAGCTCCTCGTGAAGAAGGAGGACCAGAAAAACGTGAGGAGAAGGCGACGTTCGGGAGATGCTGCGTTGAAGCAGTGTTGGAGGAGAAATGGAGGATACTGGAGGCTAAAGAGAAGGAAATAGAGGAATGCTCCCTCCGGTTCCGGCTAAGGGAGGATGGATTCCAGGAGCAATTGGCAGAATTTCAGCTTCTTTTCAGCGAACTGAAGTCTCGACAGAGGCAAGTCACCGAGCAAGTGAGACAATGGCGAGAAATTGAATCGAACACTAAGCATTGTTTTGATGAGTCAAGAGTTGGGGAGGAGGAATTTGAACAGAGAGTCATTGAAATCAGTAATAAAGTGGTGACACCTGATCTGTGTTTGGCTAAATTGAGCAAGAAAGAGGACATGGATGAGAAGGAAAAGCGATTTAGAGAAATTGAACTGAAAGAGAAGTTGGTTGAGGAAATGCGTCGAGAATCTGAACTGAAGGAAGATGAAGACCTTGTCAAGTCACTCTCTTCGGGTCAGCTTAATGGAGCTAAACGTCTGTGGTCAGATGCGCCTGGAGACGGTAATCACACTGAATCTTCTGATCTTGCTCCTATGAAATCCGTAAACTTATCTGCAGAGCAGCCATAAAGCTCGAATGTTGAAAACCCTGAAAGGTTTAATATACCTCATCGGCACCCAAAAAGACTTAATCCACCAGTTCAGCGTCCAGAACCGTTATCCAGCGATCAAGGCAAGGCATTTGATAATGATCTATCTAGTGGTTTAATTATATAACCATGTGCATGTCCTGTATTTTATTTTATTGTTGTTAGGATTTGCTGCAAATGTCTAATCCTTGCTAATTATTTATCCCTCTCATTCTCAGCAGGCAACAACAATCCTTTCCCCATAATTTCCAAGCTCTCTAGATCAGGAACCAAAACTGATCCTTTTCCTGTGAAAATGTTGCCCCAATTTACATGTCTCGAATCAATATGCAGGAAATCGAGATGAACGTGTTTCATTGCAGTGAGATTTCTGATGCCCTTCAGCTTGCATATGATCTTGGAGAGTTTGTTTTAGGTGCAGGAAAGAATCCTTCCTCTCTCAGATTGAAGAGAGGGAATGAAGCAGTCGGGTTGGCTATTCCACAATACGGTCCGTTTTTATTGTTGGACCATATGTGGCGAATGTCGCCCCATGTCAAGCTAGATGTGGAGAGAGAAGCCCTAAGATTTGCTAGGAAGTGGAGGTCTAAACTTCCTATGCAGATGGACAATCACTTAGAACCCGTTTGTTTCTTATTGTTTTTAGCTGTCTACAAATTAATCTCCCTTTTTGAGCAGGACGAGCTTTTTAGTGTTTTCAGTAAAGGTCATTGGTGCCTGTATGCAACCAAGCTATTTGGGATTCTCGGCTTCAAGGATTTAATACCAAGTAGCTCTCACGTCCTATCCTTTCCCTGCTAAATATTATGGCTGTCCAGACTGTCGATCTGATCAAACTAACAGTAGGGCTTTTACTGTTATAGAGTTTCTCGAATACCTTATGAGAAATAAGCTACTGATGGAGACTCTTGGATCTATCAATGTATCGAGTTTGCTTGAGAAGTCCCCTTCAGCAAAAACTCTGCTTAAGAAATATTTGCTCCTACCTCCAACGAAGTTCCTTGGAACTGAAGGCATTGGCCAGCAGGTATCAATAGTGAACTACATGTTTAAATCTTTCCTTGCAATTGACTGTAGGGTGCTTTGTTTTAGCTGTAAATTCGTTCTTTCTGTAATTTCTAAATGTTTAGTACATCATTGGTACCTGATTTGCAGATCGAAGCCATTGATAGAGCGCTAGACGTATGGAAAGTTGTAGTCGAGTCCATAGCGGACTAGACCTTGTATGATAAGTTCCAAGCCCACATTTCGGCCATTGAGAAGGAGAAAGAAGAAAAACTTACAGCACTACACAGCTGGGAAGCCATTGCTGCACCTCCTTCCATGCCCAAATTATCCGAGAACCAGCAACCAGTTCGGCGACCACAGGAAGACACTCCACTTGCATTCTCCAAAGCTGACGTTGATCCAATCACCACCTCTGTTGTTTTGTTTGTTCTTGTCCATTTCAGTATCAGGGTGAGATTAGGGCTTCGAAAAAGTGTCGCAATTTGGGGTGCAACAACCAGAAGGTCCAACCGGCACAACAGCTTCTGCAGTTTGCTGGAGGAGGATGTTTATTTAGACCTGTTGCTTCAATTCCTTTCCTCGATCGACCTTTTGGCCAACTGACACAACATCCTCTGCAGTTCACTGGAGGAGGAGGTTCATTTAGACCTGCTTCAATTCCTTACCTAGATCGACCTTTTGGCCAACTGGCACAACATCCTTTGGAGTCCACTGGAGGAGGAGGTTCATTTAGACCTGTTGCTTCAATTCCTTACCCAGATCGAGCTTTTAGCCAACTGACACAACATCCTCTACAGTTCAGTGGAGGAGGAGGAGGTTCATTTAGACCTACTGCTTCAATTCCCTACCCAGATTCAGCTTTTGGCTTTCGTGTTCTCACATTTCCTTGGTGCCAGCAGACAAAGTTTGAGTATCCTGGATATAGAAGGTATAGTGCCCTCACTGCATTCCCTCGTTAGTGTTGCAAGGTAGTTTTGGTAGAGTTGCAAGGTTTTTGTGTTTAAGGTGGTTGCATATATGTTCTAAATTTAGAGTGCCAGCATTGTGACCCCAAGTTATTGCATATGAAATCATATGGAAGCTTCAACCATTTTCCTTTATGCAGGGCAAGCTGGTAGTGTTAATTTATAATCAAACTTGAACTTGTTGGTTTTGTTGGGTATATTTAGAAGGATGTTGTTTGCAATTTGTAATTAGCTCGTTATTATTTATCGAATTCCCAATTCTTCTGTAATTTGGCTTCAAAATCTAACAATTACCGGATGATATGATTTTACCAAGATTATGATCTACTTTCATACAAGTTTCTTGCAAACCCGCCCTGATGCTGCTTCGGCAAGAGGTCTAGACGATGCATTGGGAGCTCTGGAGGTGGAGGCTCCAGCAAAAGGTGTCAGTGCTGCTAGATTACCATGTGCCGAGATCAATCAGTCCATAGCACGGACTGGGACCGAGTCGGCTTCACCAGCATCTGGCATTCAGGTCGGACTTAACCCGCATGGTGTTGGACCCAGCTCTGTAACTAAGTACATGATGGAAAATCTCCATCGGCCATTATCATTTGGCATGGAGCATCAACCATCCTCACTTCCTATGCAGCATCCGAGCTAGCCGTTCTCTTCCTTTTCTGAGGTTACAATGGCATCTTCTGGTCTTGCGTCTGCTCCTACTCAATTCAGAAGTCCTACCCTAAGCAAATCTGTTGGAGATTCCCCGCCATTGAGCTTGGTACCCGCTGAAAATGTGAAGGAACAACCAGAAGAATGAATGTTTTGTGTTGCAACTATTGTGCTCTTAGGAGTTCATTCTGCGATTCAGTCGCAGTCACTGATGGTGATATATCATAATGGTTATGGCAAACAAAAATAAGCATTGATGGTTACAGTTCTGGCATCTTCGGATCAAAATGAGGCATTTGACTTGATAGAAGCACATAATCCCCATAAGTAGTGGAGTATTGAGGATTTTATATAAGGTGCGTCCAATATTTTTCAAAATAATATTATATGATAAATTTAGATTTGCAGCAAAAGCTTACAGGCACCTGCCGTTGCTCTTGATTAAGGTTGTTTAACAGATCCTTCGGTGTTTACCATCATCCATCCTTGAGGTGGTTTCTTCCAAGCAACTTCCTGCTGGGTTTTGTTCGGTTTACAAAATCACATTATTGTTGATGTTGTGGGCTTGATGAATCGTTTCTGTCCAGCACTTGATTCGTATGATATCAATTTCAAGATATCTATCAAGTAATAATTTATGATTTTTGTCACTCATTGAATACTAAAAATAATTTTTCCTTAGCTCATTCCTAATATCCTTTCAACAATTTTAGTGGAGTAAGGTAGCAACAACACTATGTTACTTCTTTCAATAACCATAATCCTAAAAATCTTAGAAATTCTATCTTATTTTAGACACTCATTAGTCAACTCAACGTAATCTAGTTGAAACTTAAAATCTAAGATACCGTTATGAGGGAACTCATTATTATATATGATAAAAGGAAGTTAGCGAGTTTCAACAAAAGGAGGGATTGGTAGAAGAAAATAAACTTAAAAATTTGAGACCTGAAGAATAAAGTTATATTTTGTTGTAATATTATTTACGTTGGAACTTTAATACATTAAATAAAAATAACAACAACTAAATTCATTATTTAATTGTGGTTAGGTAATTGAAATATTAACTAAGAATCTTATATTGACAGCGTTTAGGGTTCAAATCTCACTTGCATCATATGTACATATTTTCTCAAGAGCCAGGACCCACCTTGTGGTGCATTGCCTCCGCTACTAATCCCCATCGTGATAGGGATTGTAGCTGAGCTAGTTTATGCTTCACTTGCCCTACCAATGCGAGACTGTCATCTCACTATTTACACAAACTCCCAGCAGGAGGATCCTATAGACGACTTTTTTAAACAAAATATAATTTTATTTATTGATAAAAGGATCAATGATTACACCCTGGAACCATCTCACGCACGAAAATCATACAATCGACACGACGGTGGCGACAAAGAAATGATATTTCTTAAAAAGCCACTGAATGGGCTACCCTACTGCTACTCCGACCCATAAATCGAACTTGAAAACCACTATGCATAGCCATCATACATAAAATCTGTTGAATAATCGCACCAACACGGCTGTCTTGCACATCTTTGGCATTAATTTTATCAATTAGCACTTTTGCATCACCCTCAAACCGAACTTGAGCAATGCCAAGATCCCGATACCACTGAATAGCTTCACGGAGGACAATAGTCTCCACCACAAGCGGGTCAACAATATTTTAAAAACCCATCTTGCTAGGACCACAGACCCTCCACCATCCTTTAAAATCAGCCCTCCTGCTGAATGTGAGTCAACACGTACCGCACCATCCCACATACAGATGATAGAGGGAGAATCAACCACCCCCAGATTCTGCTGCAAGGCACCCGATTCGGACCAACCTATCCTCCGGTATGGACACCCATTCATGTATTTGCTTATGGTATGGGCGCATCCGCTGAGGAAACAAAAACTACTTGCCCTCAAAGGTAACCCAGTTTCTAGATTTTCAAATATGCCACAGTAGCACCACCAGAGCCATAATCTGATCCGGCTGGGTCATCCTAACCAAGCATTTCTTAATAAAAAATGGGAACCTCTGACGTAGAAACCCTTTCCCCGGATGCTCCAATCCCGACTAAATCCAGAGGGCTGCAGCAATTGGACATTCCCAAAAGAGGTGTTCCATCGTTTCAGAATTCTGGGTCCCCTGTCTTTGATTCTTCGTTTCTCCCCCGTTCGGACTCCAAATCAGGTGTCGTTTGATCCTAGATGCTCGTAGTCTCGTCCTATTTCTTTTCATGACAAGATTACATGATTATTTGGTAAAAAAATGAGGTATAAATCCATTCTTCTTTAGGTCATGCCCGAGTTTCTTCCCCCGAGTTGCCAAATGATCTCTGATTTACTTGAAACT